TACAGAATTTTAAATTATGCCGCATGAAACACTGAGTAGTCATTGTCCTGCAGTCTATGAGAACAACAAAATATTTACACTTATCTAATTCAATTACTTACTTCTGGTATACCAGAACGAAACAGATTAACGTAACTGCTGAATCGCTAGATGAAATTAATGTTTATAGTATAAGAAAACAATAACACAAGTTTCTTTACTAACACAAACACCTACCACCACTCCAAAACACACACCTCCAAACGCTCCAAACCCAAACTGCCTTCTGCTGTCCGCACTAACATACGCACCGTACGCACAGAAGCGCACCAGAGTCCTCTAAGCCCTGGCGGTCTAGCACGAAATACCAACTGAACTTCCTACTTCCGTCGACGTCATTTCGTTATTTGCATAGTACAGTTCATGTAAAAACTTCTATATGCTACCAGCGCACAACTACGAATTGTGGATATATCTGTAACTACTTTACAGCCCGCAATATTCAAATGTCTTTGCAGTAACAATTTCATATCTTTCTTGCAATGTGGAGGTCATCTATTTGTTGTTCCTGGATCGATGAAACCCAGTAGTGGAAAATGTATCATCCATAATCGACAATCGATTATTTTTCAAACATTATGTGACACCAGTCTGCATTTGTGTTTAGAAAACATAATTCATAACTTGATAAGTAATATGATAAGTGCACATACTTGTATAACCTTTCAGCTCCGAAATATTTAAGGAGTTACAGTTACACATGTTGTCATAACATACCAAAATCCTAACATAATAAAAAGTAGAAATTAAATGGCTTTTGTTGTACCATACTGAAACCCTACCATGATGCAACAAAAACCACATTCTTGGGCCAGAAGTTACAAGTACATTGGTTGCAGGATTATGATGGTTAACCATAAAATCTTTTTATTTCTAATTGCTAGTGGGGTGGGACTAAGTCCCTTGCACTGAGGCCACTTCTGGCCTATTGTACCAGCTCCAGATGATAGGTGAGGGTGATTGTGGAGCAATTGGTGGAATGAAGATTGGCAGGGGAAACCAAAGTACTTGGAGAAAACCTGGCCCAGCGCCACTTTGTCCACCACAAATCCCACTTGACCAGACCCGGGATCGAACCCGGGCTGCCAGCGACTAACCACTTGAGCTATGGCATGGCCATTAAAATCTTTGTTAATCACTGTGTAACACACAATCTAACAAACTATTCTAACCTATTTAATTGCATATTGCTATAACACACTCCTGATATAGTTCTGACATGACACTGTATTAAGCAGAGGAATGTCTCTCAGTAATACTGAAAACAGTCCTGTAACTTCTTAACAATAATTATGATGGCCAAGAAGAACAATAACAAAAAACAATAACAACTAATTCTGTATTTCAGCATCCTGTTGCAATTGTTTTCCCCAACATACATGTATTTATCAGCCATCAATATTGCAACACTTGTTTATTCACTAATTTTAATTTTAGTTTAACATTATACACTTTGACACTACATGTTTCGGCCCCAAACGGCCATCTTCAGGTGTCTTGATATGTTACAAATATTTTTTTAAATTATGTTAAAACTGCTACACTGTGTTAGTCCATGTTAAAATCACACGCTGTAGTTCTCTTTTCAAGGTAAAACCAGAAAACACGCAAACTAGTGGCATATGGCAGTCATAACTGAAAAGTAGGCTACAAACATGAGGGGCAAGCTGCCGAAACAAAAAACACCCTGGACAGACATACATTTATGAACAAGGGACGACACCCCATGTGAGGTGAAATAAAATGCACCAAAATAATGTGGGTATAATAGACACTTTAATGGATTTTATCTGGTTTTACCTTGAAAAGAGAACTACAGCGTGTAATTTTAACACGGACTAACATGATGTAGCAGTTTCACCATAATTTAATAAAATATTTGTAACATATCAAGACACCTGAAGATGGCCGTATGGGGCAAAAACATGTAGTGTCAAAGTGTATAATGTTAAACTAAAATTAAAATTAGTGAATAAACAAGTGCTGCAATGTTGATGGATGACAAATACATGGACATTGAATAACAACTGACAACAAAAGATAGCTAAGCTGACAAACTGGCCATTATGCTCTTATAACCTTCTCATTTTTAGATCAATCTGGAAACAAGGAACTGATGGGATGAAAGGAGATTACATTATCTGCACCTACACTTGCAGATAACAGCTGTTAGGGTTAACAAACAAGGTATAAGCCTTTCAAATTTCACTACAACATATGCAGTCATGATTTATCTTCAAAGACGTACAGCTAGCACAGCTGCTGTAATCGTCTCAAACCCAAACAATCTGCAGATGTACCCAACAGAACAAAGTATATTAAAGGAGTCCTGAAACTTTCAACAGCTCAGTATATATTTCCCTCTTCACCTTCCTGAAGTTATGCTGCTTGCATCACAAACATGTGCTTTGAAAACCACAAATTCATATGTCATATTGTTAATCTTATTAAATATGTATGTGCACTTAACATAATCTTTAAGGGAAATTATATTTTCAAAGCTTCCATGGAAATGCTTGTACCAGTTTGTTGTGGTACCTTGAAATTATGCAAAAATAAGGACATTAACTCGCTGACAAAGCAAATAAAACTAATAAATCATAAAACAATTCCATTACTGCAAAATCATATTTGATGTAAACACACACATTCTAAATACTGTCATTCTCCCAAAAGTATGACCAATTTGGTAAGGCCTCACCTGGTGTACTGTTGTGCCCAGGATTTTGGAAACTTGATTTCGATGTTTAAATTATAATATTAAGGTTTAGTAGATATGAATTTATGGGTGAGCTAGAATGATGAAACGAACTACGGAAATCAAGTTGCTCATGTATCCTGTTATTCATGATTATTCATTTCCGTTAGTCAGCCACTTCCCATCATGTGGGACAAAGTATGAGGCAGTCAGGAAAGACCAAATATAGGCAAGTTTTAAGAACCATAGGGAATGTAGCCAATGGGAATCGCCGATTCCCAATGCGTCCATGAGGACGGAAGCACGCCCACGGATCCAGATGGTATAAGAACCCTGGGACCAGGGGCGGGGAGCGCTTAGACTGGACGAGTATTGCCAGACGCCAGAGGGTACGTTGCGAGCCCGTGGGGCCCGACGTCGCGAAGTCACGAGGGGCATCTCTGACCCAGGAACAGAGAGAGAGATGGGAGCATAGTATCGCCCAAGGAAGGGGCACGTGAGTACTTGCCAATGGTTGGTCACCTGAAAGAACTGACAGGCCACCCGGTAGAGGTGACAGGTCACGCTTGAAGTTACTATTTTGTAATAGGTTAGGCTAAGTTAGGGAACATCAGTTGGAAGGAGAGAGAGAATTAAGGAGAAGGCCAGCAGGGACAGGGTAAGCTACATGTTGTAGGTGAATTGAGACAAGAAGGACGGAGGCTATCCCCACTCCGGAGCGCTCGATGTATTTCAGAATATAGGACTTTCATTTGAACTATGTAATCACTAGACTAAGGTCGCTTGAGACATTGTTACCTTTGTTGTGCACAGGAAGACGAGGAAGGGGATAGGACACGCTACAAGAACTGGAGCCACAAGGCATCCATTTTCAGTTGCTTTTGTTGTAATCAATCATTTATAATATATACTCATTTCTGCTTTAGTGATGTATTGTTGTGAAATGGTATACCTGTGACCCCTGCACTACCTTCCCTTGTGAGTCCCGGGGTTGGAGAGAGATACCTACTGGTGCCCCGAGGGGGAGAATCGGCCACGACCCCCTGCGGCACAACAGTACTCTTGCTGTTAGCAAATGGCTGCAATGAAGTGAAATATTTCACATTACTTACATCTCTTCCATATTTGTGTCTAAGATTCCTCACTCTGGAAAGAATGATGTCCCTACACATATTTTATTAATCCTTATAACTCTCTTTGGTTCTCTATTACGAAGTTAAATGCATGTTCTGAAGAAAAAGAGAAAGACCATTGAAATGTAAACACTTATACACTAATTTTATAACAAAATTCATTCACAGATTTCATGTAAATATTTCCAACATTTAACTAAGTAAAACTATTCATCTATTATATCTATTACGAATGTGTGTCTGTTGTTTATACACTTCAAGACTGCTGCATCTAGTTTGTTGCCCGAAGATCTCCCTGGGGAGATTTCAGATACTTAAAAAACCTTCCAAGAAAAAGTTTTCTTGCTTAATTGCTCAAGAACCATTCTTCCTAGCATAGAGGTTATTTGAGTCTGATATGGCCTTGAAAATTAAATATTTCAGAAAATATGACAGAGTGTTTTCTATTTTCCAAAAATAAAAAGAAATTTTTAAAATGTATTTAAGCATCCTGCTGCACCAATACATCAACCATTTCATACAATATATATTTCCATTGCTAATGCAACAAAAGTTATAGTCACTTTAATTCTCCATTCATGACAAGCCGCCGAAGATTGCGCTGATGGGTTCCAATAAGAAGATTGGATTTAACTGTATTTATTAAACTTTAAAGGGTTGACCTATTTTAAACCGAATTTTAATTTAAGACTTTAATTTTAATTAAGGAGTACCAATAACTAGCCAGATGCAATTGTAACATGTAGTACAGCAGTACAAGAGTTTAGTGTAGTGACAGACACCTGATGAAGGCCATGTATAGACGAAACATTTTGTGAATGAAGTAAAGTGATTATAACATTTTATTGCATTAGTGATGTAAACATAATTGTCACAATAATTGGGAGTCTTTAAAATTCACAGGAAGGCGAGGATTTACATTGTAACTGATTAGTTAATTTCCTCATAAAGCTGTTAATTTCTACTAATGTCATTAAGATCAACGCTACAGCTCTTCAGTATTTTAAGCTTCCCAATTCTGTGAGTGAACCACACCCAGGAAATGCTAATTATTCATAAAAGAAATTACAATGCAATGCAACAGGAGTTGGGATTCATTGATACATCTAAAATAAAATGAAATGCTGAAGTATATAATATTTCATATTATTACATGATGATAAAGGGTTACACATGGAACTACAACAAAACAGTTATCATGATATCAACTAATGTGCAACTGAGCACTACATTAATTACCTCAATTTTACAGACAATTTCATTTATAATCCATACATTCGGTGAGATGACAAGGCAGCAAGGCAGTCAAGAGCAGATTATTAAATAGGGTCTTCTTAGCTTGGACATTATCCGCGATCTACATTTTCAATTGAAAATATCTTTGGAGCTGTTCTGCTTGTGTCAGGACAAAAGGGAAGATTTTACTTGATGGGTCTATTGGGATGAGTCAGTCTCAGTCACTCCCTAATCATGGAAGCAGAATCATCTTCAGAAACACTGTTGTACAGAATTTCAGATGATGGATAATGTGCAGTGTAAGAATGTTATACCTATGTACCTTTGTCAAAAACCATTAGAAATGGGGTTATGAAATTACATGACTTGCTGGCCTTCATGTGCACACATTTAATGTCTTGCTTCATAACATAACCAAATGAAGTATAACAACAGAAAGAAACACAAGCCACTAATCAAGTATCATGGATAAGTGAAATGCTTAATAATACAGAACCTATAACATTAAAATTTACAAGATTCTGATTTTCACAGTGCTAAGTGTTCAGGGCCGTGATGCCATTTAGTTTGGTAGATAGATACCAGCATGTTGGATGTACACACTGCCTCTATATTCACAGTCAGCCTCGATGACATACCAGAAAAAATTTGGTTCCCCTGAAAGACTACATAGTATAACATCCAAGAAGACCGCAGTCTAGATATTTACAAAATTTAAAACTGATCTGGGGAGAAATGCTTGAAATCTGAAAATATCCTTCCTACAGTAATGGAAAACTCAAGCATGTTCAATTAAAATAACAAAAGAGCACTGCTTATCAAGGCTGCTCATAGCACAGAGAAAGTGTATTATTGCAAGCATGACTTGCTTACATCAGCATAAATGTCTGGAGCTGCTGTTTCAGTACAGTATACATACCACATTATCGTTTGTAATGGATGTCTAGTTTCCTGTACCAGGTTACTTTATGGCATGGTTCAGTGAAAAAATGCTAGACCAAAATAAATATTTTTTTAATGTGGGTGCAATACGTTATTTAAAATGATAAACTGACAAGCTGATCCTTCGAACTGCAAATACATAACCTGGCAGAGTACAGCCCACATCAATACCTCATGCACAGTTAATTGCATGCTCAAGGAGTAGCAGGGCTGCTACTGGCAAAAGGGAGATGATTGTCGAGCCATGCTTCCATAGCAGGCAAATTGACGTCATTCCACTGCACCTCTGCACTGACTGTGCGGACAGCATTCTTCACAATCTGCTCAGCAGCTCCAAATTCACCGTGACGTATCACATACAGTTCCAAAACCTGAAGCAGCAATATCAACTTTACTGACCAATCTTAGCAAAACTCTTTTTGAACATTTGAAAAATCTTTTTAGTTTGAACACTAATTTCAAAGATATGCTCAAAACAACAAGAAAACTAATATGTTACTGAAAATTAAACCAAACACTGTATACAGCTCCATCATGAGGAACTTCATGGTGCCTGTGAAAATAAACACATCCATCAGTACGTCCCAGTAGTTGAAAGGAATATGTAAGCATGGATTTTCTTCTTCCTTTATCTGACAACACTTCCTCAAGTAAAAAGTAAAGTAAGTAAAGCTATCCCTGTAACAGGCTGTGAAGGCCCATAGGGTTGTGAGACGTTGAGGGTCCAACATTATCTAGACAATTGGCTGAAAGATGGCGGTAGGGTTGTCAGCCTTACACGCCGGCCGTGCTTTACTCCCCAGGAAAATTATTTAATTAATTCCTGGTACTCATTTCTGCTGGAGGCTGAGTCGACCCCATGGCCATGGTGCGGCTGGAAGGATTAGGTCAATTGAAACAAATCCAATGACCTCATCGGGACTTGAACCCGAGACCTTCCGGGTTGTAGCATAGTGCCTCAACCACTATGCTACCGCATGTAGTGCTGAGATTATATAATTCTTTCAAGACCTACCCCAAATATACTCATACTTCTCTAGCATGTCTTCTGAACCTACGCCAAATGCAGTGCATTCCAGTTTGTGTCTACTGGTTTATTCTCAACTTCACATCATCACTGAATGCCTCGTGTTATGTATGTCTGAAATGTTAAGCCTGTTTAAAGAACTTAACTTGGAGAAACATTACGAAGTTGAGAATAACCAGAAAAACAGTAAAACCTGAAATATTTATGAGCATTCATGTACCTGCAAGAGAAAATTGGTCTGAAAGGTATGTTAAGTGCTTGAAGAAATGTGCAGGTGAAGGGACTGACATGGAATGATAGATGAAGCACTGAGAAAGCGCAGTATTCCCTTACTTTGATGAACTACCTATCCTAGCATTTTTGTAGAGGAACCGAGTGGGGGCAGCCAATCTCTGAGCCAATATAAATTACAAGTTCCACACAACATAAAGCAATATTCAGCGCCAATGATGGGCCAGTACATGTAATTGTTATACGAGTAAAATGAACAATTGGAAGACTAAGAGAAAGGAGAAGCAATAATAAAAAATTAAAGCAGTGGTCTTCTGTTTAATGGCATTTAATCATGGGGCTATTATAATTCATGAGAATTAATTCAACTGGGGAAAATGACAAATGACTCTCAAACAACTGAAAGTTGTTATACTGTTAATTAAGAATACAATATTTATTACCATCCAAGGACATTAACAGAGTTATAACACTAAACAACACAAACAATAAGATAACCAGGATTTTGAGTTTCAAACTACTTTTACAAATGTATGTGTCATAAAAAATTATGTTTATGAAATCTGCTCTTATTTCTATAAGAAATGCTTCATGAAACATGAGCATTCACTATACTAAGCTTAATTCTGCATTACCATGTTGTAGCCCTCCAGGGTTTTCGACATCTCAGTTGCTGCATGCACCACCAGATACTCCCACAAACCAGACTTCCCTGTCAATCTGCAATGTTAAGCACACAAAAACACTCAGCACCCACAGAGTGCATCTGCAGTCTCTCCTGTCACAGACTGATTTCATTATAATGTAAACAGTGCTATCTTCAGGAAGTAAAGTCTTGTAGCACTAACATTTCAAAGGAACATGCTGCCTACATCTTCAGGGCTGAAGAGAAAGGCAAGGAAGCTGCAGGCTGTCAGTGAAATTTACCAGACTATGTATATCACGTCCATCGCAAAAAATGGTACTCTTTTATAGTTACCGCCCTGAGAACCTCACATATGTTCCATGAATAATGACACCAATCACAGTGCTGAGCAGCATAATCAGACTTACAGACAGGAAGTAAAGCAGAAGGAGGGAAATTAAAGAACACGAAGCCTCATAATTTGTAGCGTTTTTTTCATCAGTAATCTGTCATAAAACAGTTCCACCACTTAATGCGATCTAGAGCTTTCTCCTTCAAATAAAAATATCCTCTTCTGTCCCCAAGGTCATCCAGCATCTTCTTACGTCTTTTTCCTTGTCTTCTGGTCGCATACATGGTATCTCTGTTTTCGGAAAGAGACTATCCAGGAAAAGTGATAATGTGGTAGTTTTTCCATTTGCTTTCCACGTGGCAGTACAACAGCTGTCAAACCACTCTGGTCATGCCTGTTGCTATATGACTTGAACCATCTTGAGCATTTTCCAAGCATCATAAAAGTTTTAATTGAAGAAGTGATGGTTCAGACATGTGGAATGCATAGGGAGTGAGAAATGCATGTGAAATTGTAGTGATCTAGGACCTGCACTAATTTGTTTATTAACATTGTAGTGTTGAGTGCCAGTTACAAAACACATGCCATGATATCTCCCTCCTATTTCCATTGCTGAAAAGCCACAAATTTTGGACTGAAATTCCCAACATATGGCAGGAGAGAGAGTTTCACTTATAATATCAAGCTCAAGAGCTACTGAGAGCACAAACGGGTGTCTCTCTAAACAACATATCTCATTCACAGAACAAGAAGAGTTATACCACAACTTCAAAAAATAGTTCTTTTCTTCTGATGTCTTTGTTCATACAAAGCACTGCAATTGAGATGAACATACCTTTCCCTAAGTTGCTCCCAATTCTGAGAAAGGAAGTGGAAAAGTGTGGTGTAGCCAGTAGATCTGCCTGTGAGCATGTTCAGAACCAGCCGTATGTCCGAGTCTGTGAAGTTGTTACCATCTTCCAACAGTGTAACATTCAGAATTCTGTGAGCAGGACACAGATTGAAATCATTCCTTGCTTTAAATGTAATGTTCAGGGGAGAGGAGGAGCCCAAATGCAATTTATGTGTGACTGGTCGCAGAAATCTAAGCACAAGAACTTCAGTTTATGTTTAATCCTGTGTCTGTAACACCCCAAGTTTTGTTATGTGTATATTAACACAATGAGTGCTGTGGTCAGAATATTCCAATTAACATGGGCATGTCTGTACCTGTAGAGTAAGAAGTCTCCTGGCACCCTGCAATTCAGACCCTTTCGTCTGGTTCCTGAGTGGCATCTTCTAACAAAATACAGTATTTTTGGAGAAGTATGTCACTTCCATTCACCTAGACAATAACTGTTCAAGATAGATCTTGTTAGACACTGGCAATCAGATATCAAGAAAGCACCAGCTGATGCAGATGCCTCACAGCAGTGGCACTGCTCATACTTGCAAAAGTTTACTGAGTTATAAGCACTTGCCAACATCACTACTGATAACGAATTGTAAAGAATGTACCATAAAATGACGTAAATTTGAAAAATAAACCGTAAATAATAATTTTCTTCTTAACGGATCATATTTCTGATACCACAATTAATAGCAGTTGATTATCTTGATAGTAATCAAGAAACAGGTAAACTATTTGAAGGCCACATCTGTGAAAGAATTCCATTTGGTACAACATAACATGACTTTAGACCTGAAATAGATTTTGAGATGAACATTTCGTTTAGCTGGCTGAAGTAAGATCCTGGGCAGGCCTGAGTCTTCCACCACTTTATATAGCTGACCAAGCTCCCCACATTCCACCTAGAGAATGCTGCCAAACACAGTCCTATAATATGATGCATATGTGAGACAACCCAATCAAAGTCTATAAAAAAGTTAGTGAAATGTCTAACACTGTCAGCATGAAGAACATTCTGTCTCATTTTTTTTCCTTGGCACTACAGCCCCAGTGGGCCTAGGCCTACCTCCATGAACTTCTCCATTCACTTTCGGTTTTTCTAGATCTTACACATTCGGTAGGACTCCTTGGGCAGGTGATCAGCTCATCGTAAGGCCTCTACCTGTATACAAACACAGAAAAACACACACACACAAACTAAACATCCATGCCCTGAGTGGGATTCGAACCCACAATCCCGGTTTCCAAGCGAGCGAAGACAGTACATGCCTTAGACCGCTCGGCTACTGTGACCGGCATTCTGTCTCATTTATTTGACTAATTTCCCAATATAATGAAGCCATTAGAGTACCTTTCAACTTTCTCCTCCTGTCTTGGGCACCCTGCCAGCGTTTTCAATAGGTAGTGTCGCTCTGACTGTCTTCTATCAGATGGAAACCTAATCACTCTTTTCAAACCAAACTCCCATTCCTCCATCGTTCCCCACTGGAACACTGTGCAGAGGTATGGGTCTGGAACACTGAAGCCATACACACTACTGCAATGTGTGGTAGCATGTTCTGTTCAACATTATGCTTCAGACAAGTTGGAGAACTCAATATAACTGCAAGAAACACAAATCTGCACTAGCAGCTTATGCTCTGAACTCTATCTTACTCCACACAGCAGAGTTCCTCTAGGGAAGCTGACAATCACTGGATTCATGAGAAATTCCCTGCCTTGTACAGAAACCCAACATTCATTACTGTATTAAGAACAGCATACCGCAAAACTCTTCCTACGAAACACTAAACATATATGACATGAGGGCTTAAAGCTAGAAGAGATATCATTTGCTAGGCACTGGCTTGGTAAACACCGCCTAAAAGCCAGAATATTAGAGCAAGACATGGAATTACCCATTTTGCTAGGAAACAGTTCATGCACATTTGTGAGACAACACAATCATGAAGAGCAGTAATGGAACCCTTGGGGCAGCGACGTCTATTGGGTTCTCTCGCAGTTATAAAAGGGAGTTCATCTGTGAATTCAAGAGATTCTATACAGGGTGTCCCAGGAGGAATGGTCAAAACTTTGGGAGGGTGTTCCTTATGTTAAAGTATGCCAATATAACCCAAAACACCTATGTCCAAAGTTGAAGGGTTACGGAGATAATGGCCAGAGAAGTGTGAAACTTTGACCGGTGTTACACACTTGTTGATTACAAAATACACATTAAAACTGGCAGGAATATGTGGTTTCTGTAATGTTAATAATGTATGTAACATCATACTAACTTGTGAGTGAAATGAAGCCATAAAATTGAAGTAAAAAATACTCGCGCGCCATGTCATAATTGTCCTTACGGTTTCCAAGCACTATACATGACACATGACTGGCAAGCACTGACGTAACATGGCTGACTGCGCTATAAGCCGACCACATAACTGTATTAAACGTACATTCATGGAAAATCTCTTTTGGAATTTCGTTTCCATTATCTCATGTGGATTATTATGGGACCATGCATGCACATTTCGTAAATTATTTACACCGTCCAGGGTAAAAGATGCCTCATCACTGAATAAAATGATGCTTAACAGTTCGGGATGAGCTTTTATCCAGTGGCACAAATCCCTACGCTGTGCATGGTCGCCTGGTTCATGATGTTGTACCCTTTGATCATGGTAAGGATACAACTCTTCATCATGTAAAGTTCACCACACCTGCATACGTGATACGCCGATGCGAGAGGCCATTCTACGAGTGGACAGACACGGACTTCCCTGAACCATCTCAAGAATGTTCTTTCGTGTGTTTATCATTCTTACATCCTCCCTTTCAGACTGCACAGAAACACTCGGAAGAGAACCAGTATCACGCAATGTCTGGTGAATTTGCGTAAATACACTTTAAGATGGAATCCTTCGATTGGGAAAACGCCTTTGGTACTCTTCAACAGCAGCACGTGCATTGCAACCACAAAATCCATACACAAAATGCATATCACAATATTCAACGTGTGAAAACACAAAAGGCATTTCAGCAACTCCGCACAACTATACGTAATTTACCAACCATTCACGATGCTGCCGCAATTTACTCTGTAGGTAGCATATGAGCCACATGAGCTTATGGCTAGTGTGAATCACCACACTCAAGGACAAACATAGATAAGGCGTCTCAGCTGACAGGTACAGTGCGTGGACCTGCCAGAAGACCACACTTTTCTCGGGCCATTATATTGGACACAGGTGTTTTGGGTTATATTGGCATACTTTAACATAAGAAACACCCTCCCAAAGTTTTGACCATTCCTCCTGGGACACCCCTGTATACAGCATTCATTAAGACAGGAGTCAAGATTCATTCCTAAGAGAACTCAGAGGGGGTTCAATGTGTGTGCTGTTATAATTGGTTGTAACTGTAAAGAAGTGCCAGTAAAGCAAATAATCAAATCCAGAATTTGATATTATTAGTCACAGAACCCCTAATATGTGACAATATGAATCTTCACCACCACATATTAGAAACTCACAGGTTTCCAGCATCAGGATCTTCAGCCTGCATCCATTTGGAATACGCATCTCTGGCGTCTACCACACATGGCTGGTGGCCCAGCTGGCACAAGCAGACACGAGCACGTGATCGCAACTCTGTTTTCTCACTGCAATCATCTGGCTGGGGAGCTCCCAGAGATTCCACGAGTCTTGCCAGTAGGAAGCGAGCATATTCCTAAAATAAATTTCCTTCTGTTAATATCAAACAATGGTACTATGGACCTTTACAATTTCAGGAAATAATTGTTATATTATTTCAATAAAACATAGTTTATTGGTGTCCATTTTATATAATGGGATTTCAGTGTGTAAGTTTCCATGTAGTTCTCAGAATACATTCATGTTTTTTGTTTACAAACAATAAATTGGAATTAGGATGACCTTGATAAACAACTAAGTAAATAAATAATGAAAGTAACATGAGGATGTGTATGGTTGTGGAGGCACTGCTCTGTGCATTCTTAACCTCAGGTCAGCTGCTAGTTTTACACTCAAGCCACATTTACTGTCAGGGAAAGAACCCCCAGTATTCATTAGATGGGGAGCTGAATAGGGCCAGTGTACAAGCACCTGTTGGAATCTGAGCCTCACTTATTCACTCATATTAAATAAACAGACCACAACAAGGAGGGTAGGCCTTTCCCATGGACCACAACAAGGAGGGTAGGCCTCTCCCATGGATCACAACAAGGAGGGTAGGCCTCTCCCATGGACCACAACAAGGAGGGTAGGCCTCAGCCATGGATCACAACAAGGAGGGTAGGCCTCTCCCATGGACCACAACAAGGAGGGTAGGCCTCAGCCATGGATCACAACAAGGAGGGTAGGCCTCTCCCATGGACCACAACAAGGAGGGTAGGCCTCAGCCATGGATCACAACAAGGAGGGTAGGCCTCTCCCATGGACCACAACAAGCAGGGTAGGCCTCTTCAATGGATCACAACAAGGAGGGTAGGCCTCTCTCATATACATATAATCCTGAACATCTACAATCTTATACTACCATCAACAACACCATGGCAGACTGGTACTTCTGCGGGGCTGCTGAAACGAAGTATATAGGCATATAACTTATTAATATCAGCAGGATGTATGATTCCCAGCAAAAACCGTCATAGTGCCCACAGAGACTGTAAACAGGCAGAAGTATTATAGCCACTGAAATAAACCAAGGATGGTGGGGAATCTTGAGGCTTCCCTCTCTGCCTACCACTGTAGCCCCCTCAAGCTTCCGCTAGCCTGTATGAAGCATGCTCAAGTGTTCATTGCTAGTGAAGGTTATCGCTACCAGTAATCACATGAACAGAGAATGACAGTGCTGGAGGGGGAACAGAGGGAAGCGACGGGAACTCGAAGGAGATGTGGACACAGAATTGAATGAGGGTCTGAATACACCAGACAAACAAGTGCATGGTAAAAGAAAGAAAAAAACTGACTTTTAAAATGAATTCTGATCTGATGATTTCAGATTCAGATAGAGGATTAGTCATCACATTACAGTTCTGTGTATTAAGTTCTGAGCCAAAACAGCAGGGTTCTCTCTGTTTCTCGTATATCTTAAAGAAAAAGGTGAAAATTTTTGTGCTGTGTTATATTTAATGGCAAAGACAGAACACTACATTGTTATGGCCTATTTGAAAGTACCTTCCTGTTATCTGCCTGGAAGAAACGAGAAAGCTCATAAAAACTCCAATCAGAAGAGCCTAGGTTCAAACTGGGTACTTCCTGAATATTGTCACAGTACTTCCTTCCTTGATGCAAATAGGTAGATTTTAATGTACTGTATTAGTGTAAGGGTCATAAAAATATCAAGAAACTACTAACTTCAAATTTTAGGCCAGCATCAGTACCACTGATACGCCTTCCAAGATGGTCAATCATTGTAAACATGACTTCCCAGACAATGGGGTCTGTCTCTCGTTCCAGGAACAATGTCATGTTGAGAGCAGTGGCCATGTCCAGTTCTCCTCCATATGCTAAGTTCCAGGCATCATGCAACAGTTTGGCTCTTGTTGCAGGAGGGATCTGGGGCCCAGGGCCACGCAGGTAGTCCAACAGCAGGGCCCAGTTCTGTTGGTCATAGTTCACCATAAACATACCTGTACGAGAAACAGAATTGAGTTCAGTTCATTGTTTCAGTTCTAAGAGAGATGAGTTCACCCAAAAGTGCAACATACACACAATGTGATATGGTTGCCATGAAGAGGGACTCCACCCCAGAACCAATCTGTATTATTAACAGGTCCATGTGCACCACTTGCATGAGTTGGTTTAAATTTCAGTGAGATAAAGGGCAAAAATCATACACTTGCATCAAGCACATTAAATTTCAATGAGAAAGGTTGCAGTTATCAGACTCACAACTGAATTTCAAGTACAAAAACTAATGAGAAAACAAATTCCCTGCATATGCAGTATTTCTGCCTTTAAGAGGAAGTTTTTCCGAAAATACCTAACCTGGAGAGTTCTGGAGAGACAACTAGCTTCAATTCCATTATGATATTAAACCTGACAGAATAACAATGTGCGCTAAGTGGTTCTGATAACACTAAGTACCGCTGAACAATGGTTGTGAAGCTGGAATGAGCTTGAACATGATCTATGAGGGGCAGAAATGAAGAACAAGCTCAGTATGGAATGAGTGATTGCTTGCTGAAAGAACGCTTCATCAACTTCTATGTTTATGTGGTATCAATGATGGGATAATTTGCAAATGGTGTGCTGAAGGCAATGCAGAAGGAACTGGTTGTGGCCTATCTTCAGTTACTATAATCTGCCTGTAGGAGTGTAAAATCCTCAGTGAGGACAGCCAGTCAACCAAACATTCAGCCATAAAACAGTCACAGTAAAGTGGAGCCTGTTACATGCAGACTACTCACCTATCTCATCAGGATTAACAATGATAAAGAAGTCAGGTCCAGGCAGGTTGTTGATATTTATGTACCTCTCTTCCTTCATCCACACAACTGGGTCACGAGGAGCACTGACATCCAAGTTGTCTGCTGTCATGTATATCAATGGAATGCACCACAGCAGAGAATCTCGTTCACACATGTCCTGAGGACGGTCTTTTAAGAACACATGCTGCAACAGAATGCTTGTTGTTGATTCTGTAACTCTATATTAAAATCGGGAAATCTTGACCCTCCTACCAGATGATGTCAGAGTATATATATCTTAAAAATGTGTTCTTTACATTCCTGCCACTAAGTTATATTATCATAGACAAAAACCCTCTATCACAAAGTCAATTAACATTACAAAGATAACACTGCATAGCCATAAACTATTTTTCTGGGTGAAACCTGAATTCGTTTTCGTTGGGGTTCCTGAAAAAATTGAAAAACAATAGATGCAAGGGCCTACATAAAATGAATAAAAAGTCACACTCATCTATATGTATTTACTAAATCAAAAAAACTACACTAATGATATTATTTCGACTGTCAAATCCAATTTGTATTACTTCTTTTTAGAAGAGTCTTTACTGCTCATTTGTGTAGTAGCACCGTTTCTTTTCAAACCGAATAACTTTTAAATATTAACAATGTTCCCTGGGTCTCTTTTGATGATGTTGTGAGCATACTTGAATGCTCTCATTCACTCAAATGCATGAAGTGCTTCTATAAAACTGGGCACTGGTTCAGCCTCGGCACCATCGTCATCACCACAATCACCTTGCACCTCCTCCAAGCAACTTCCCACCACACCACACATCGTGAGCACCGTGTGTCAAAGTCCACACCAGCGGTGCTTGCCCCAAGCTGAACCCACTCTTCATCTTGTGTGTCATCATCCTCACCACTTCTGTTGATCTCTGTCATGTCTGACCCTTCTTGAGTCTTCTTCATGTGGCTACCTTTCACAACAGAGTTCTGGGTTGTGGACAGGGTCACTTGGTGTCTTGCCAAAACAATAAAGTGATTGGTACACAGGATGCTGATCTGGAGTTGGAACCCTTTTCCTCTGTTCTAAGGTCTAATTTTTTTTTTTTCAAGGAAACGCCATGGTGTTATACCACAGATGACAGAACCCCAGAAAAATTCTTATTTTGACATCATACTGGAATTATACAAAGTTAAATTCATGTGACCACTTCCAACACCACATTTCAGCAAAATTAATTTAGAACTGATATATCTCCTGTACATATTTGCTTCATGCACTTTTTGCAAAGAACACAGAATTATTTATATGAACTGTTTCACAAGTTGTATGGTTAATTAATTTAATTCCAAACCTTTGCATTAATATGTGCAAGTTCACTGACTGGCAGGTGCAAAGCATCTAAAATGAGTCAGCACAATAATCTGCTACTGAAGGCTACACTGAACACATTCAATTTAATACTCCATGGCGATTACTATCTCCTGGCATTTGATGATATGTACCTAAGAAGAGACTTTACTCTTCTAAACTAAAAATGGATGAAACAGATTTCACTAAATTTTTGGAACCAACTACCAGACTACAGGTTGCCACATCCCAGACAACAGTATCTCCACAGTCAGAATGACAAGAAGCTCAACACTCTTAACATAACATGTTTCCTTTTTTTGTATGAATTCCTTGCTACCCTTAGGTGTGAGTGCCCCACTGTAGCATGTACCTGTTCCACACTGGCTGAGTTATCCTGATAGTCTCTGGCTACAGTGACCACTGGAAAGCGATCTTTCGTAACCCATGACTTCACAATCTCTTGTACGCTGATTGACTCTTCCAGAGTCATATCCTCTCTTGCTTGACTGGTCAGTGCTTCCCATAATTCATCTTCATTAAATGTTTTAAATTTCCTGCAGGATGAATATACAGAGTTCATGACAAGGTTATGCACTCATCACATTTCATTCCATTTCACCTTTCCCAGTGGCAATAAGTTTACCCGAGAAATATGAATTCCCTTTCGTTATCTTACATCCTCTAAAACTATTGTAAGATGCACAGTTAGGCAACAGCATGAGAGATCTCCTTGCATAAGTGCATTCAACAATAGGATGAATGTTTATAGTTCATTGTTAGGCAACAATCAGTGCACCAATGGAATAGCGAGGTAGCTGTCACATGACTGGCTTTCTATGGAGTCCATGCTGTGACTGTTGCTATGCAATCATTTCAACAATAGAGGTTGTATTTTCTGTGCGGTTGGTGCAGAGGCTATTTAACGTCAGTTACTAATATAACAGGTTTCTGTTTTTAAGTGACAGTGACAAAGTGGAGAGTCCAAGAGGGTTCAGCAGTGACAGAACAAGGACAAGAATGGAGCATGTGACTTGAAGACTTTAACTATGTATAATATTTGGAGTGTATGACTCAGTGAGACAGTGCTAGTTTCTGTGTTGAGATTTGTTGCCGGGAGACAATTAGTGAAGATGGAGAATCCTAGTGTGTGTAATAGTGAAATGGAAATTGTGTAAATCGGCGACAGCACTGAATTTCCTGTATTTAAATGTGATTAAGAGAGGTTGTAACCAAAGCTCCAATAAATCCAATCAACCAAACTAGAACCTATCATTCTCATCACATGTACCACCACCACATGTACATGACAGTATGTTTAAGTAAGCTTTCTTATTAACACCAGTTACACCCCCACATTAGCTGGGTAATTCATGAAGAACACCTCATTCAGCACTAAAAAGATTTGTGAAAACTGTGCCATAAATGGTTCCAATGGAGTTCACCCATTTAACCTAGAATTCTCATCAGCCCGATTTCAACATGAGCCTACAGAAAGGTAAAGTAGAAGTCATAAAATAATGAATACTTAACACATTTTTTGATGTTTCATTTTCAGTATAGAACAACAATAATACGTACTTTCCTTGCACAAATGTCCTCAGTCCATCTCTGAATGTGGCTTCTGTAAGAGTGTAGTTCAGCATTCGCAGCAGCCACTGAACTGAAAATAAACAAACATTATGTTCTGAAGTCAAACAGCATAGAGACTTATGCATATAAATAGGGCACGTATTAACAAGATAATAGACCGCACCATAGCCCAAGCAGTTAGTCACTGGCTTCCCACCACGGCGGCCCGGGTTCAATCCTGGGTCTGGTCAAGTGGGATTTGTGGTGGACAAAGTGGCACTGGGGCGGGTTTTTTCCGAGTACTTCGGTTTCCCCTGCCAATCTTCATTCCACCACTTTACCCCTGGGGAAAGAGCCCCTGGTACCCATTGGATAGAAGGTTGGGTGGACTTCAGAGCCAGTCTCGACAATGTGGAGAAGAGAAATTCTTGACCATACCAGGACTCAAACTCTGACTCTTTGGTCGTCCAGCTCGTAGCCAGGCACTATACCAACTACACTATCCCGGCTCTATTTTTAATGAGTGGATAATGGAAATGGAAAACAAGAAAATATTTTAACTTAGGAAACAATTCATCTTCATTACATTGAAAATAGAGTGTAGCAATTTTGACAAGTTGGACAGTTGCCTGAAGATGGCTGAGTACAGCTGAAACATGCGGCAATTAATAATGTTTAGTTCATAGTTTTTATTTTTACGTAAAGCAGTAACTGTAAATAAAGTTGCATTTAAGGCAGAAGTGAATGTGTATATAAGTGATGCAACAATGCAACAAAAAGACAGAAGTGAATGTGTATATAAGTGATGCAACAAAGCAACAGGATGTTGAAATAGAATCTTACGCCTTGTGACTTTGATGTACTCCTCCTGAGAGCCAAGCCCAGCATATGGATGGCGCTTGCTGTATTCATAATACAGACTGTAGCCTGTCACTGGATTCCAGTTCAACTTGTCCTGTGAAATGCAAACGATACAAGATACACATGCACAGTTCAGAAAAACCATCCAGCACCTTCTCAACCACTTCCCTTACATACATTTTCCCCAATTTCATTGAAAATTATCACATTTTTAATAAAGGTATAACAAATAAAACAATAGCAAATAACAAATTAAAATTATATAAACAAAGAAGTTAAGAGAATTTTACTGATAAATTCATGGAATACATATTGCCATTCAGTTCAGAATGCTTTATACCCATATTATTCATACAGAGAAAAACCATAATTTTATGTGTTGTTTTGTATAGATGTGAAACTTGATGTCTCACTGTAAAGGAAGAACATCTGAGCCTGTTTAACCTTCAAGGGCCTAATGTTATAATTATTGGCAGCAAGTAGAATGTTATAAATTTTAGGGGCAAGCCACATGCTTCCTTTGTGAGTGCTGGCAGTTTGACCTTGGGTTTGAAACCCAAACAAACTCATGTTCATGTCAAAGTTTATTTGTTAGCTCTGAACAATGAAATCGTTTATCAGGGTACTGTTTTCGACACTATTTACTTTAGATATGACTGTTTATGACCTGGTGAGCCAATAGATGTCAGCTTTGTTTTGAGAACTCAGAGGAGGAAATATTCATGGGGCTTACATATCAGTGCTACCAGAGCTTTCAAGGAAGTGTGACGCATTCAGGGATTGGTTTGCAGTGCTGAATTGTCAGTTAGGACGTCAGTGGCGGATTTTCTAATATTTCGTTATTAGTTAGGAAGTCAGTGTCAGACTCCTATATTTCTTTGTATACCACTTTTTTTGTGTATCTCGGAAGAGGTATAAATCCACTGAGCCAGTGTTACTTTGTGCATAAAGACCTCTTTGTGACTGTGACTTTCGGTATCAGTGGCGGACTGGCACTTTTCGACTGCTATTACAATTATTTTGCATCACAATTTTGCGAGTGTTCCTAACAGTCTTGCTTTTCCAATCATCATAAATTGTAGGATTTAGCTGGAAGCCCCCTCCCCCAAGATGGAACCTCAAAAACGAGCCCGATACTCAAAACTCCTCGATGCTGAAGAACTGGAGGAAATATTGATGGAAGATGAATTTGATGAAGAGTTGGAAGAACTCGATGAGGTCATTGAACCTCGTGAGCATATGTCATCATCATCGTAGTCATCGTCGTCATCGTCATCATCATCATCATCATCATCATCCTCATCCTCAAGTAATGAGGCAGGGGAAATGGAGATCAGGTTTCACGATAGAAGACCCGGGGATTTGCAAAAGCTATTAGATTTCACTGGTCCTCCGAGTGGAATCAACAGATCCACTTTACAATCCATCGGAACATCTTGCTGTTGATGAAGTGATAGTGCTCTTCAAAGGAAGAGTGGTTTTTCGGCAGTATATTCCAAAGAAACACAAAAGAATTGGAATAAAAATTTACAAGCTTTGCGATTCTCTGAGCTATACATATGACATGACTGTTTATTTGGGGAAACAAAGGCAACTTGCAACCAAAGAAATTACATCAACCCATGACATTGTTCTCCAGCTAATTCGAAGAGTAGAAGGCTCAGGACACAAACTTTATATGGACAGCTATTTCAGTTCCCCTGCATTGTATGACAATCTTCTAGAGCATAAAATAAATTTGTGTGGCACCGTTCGCAATGACAGGCGTGGAATACCACAAGAAATTCGGCCCAAATCGATGAAACTGAAAAAAGGGGATATTGTGACAAGAGTGAAGGGGAATATAAGTGTTGTTCATTGGAAAGACAAGCGTGATGTGTATGTTCTGATGAATATGCACCCTCCTCCATTGGATGGCAACTTCCGAGATGAATCTGGCCGTGCTATCAAACCTCATGTAATTGAAGACTACAATGCACACACGGGCTTTGTGGACAAATCTGACAGAATGGTGAACAGCTATGGCATTGCTCGGAGGACATGGAAATGGACAAAGAAATTATTCTTCCACCTCCTAGACATGACTATTCTCAATGCATATCTGTTACACAAGTCATGTGATGGAAAAATGACGCACAAAAAATTCCACGAAATTTTGGTGCGTGATTTGATTCTTCAATCACGTGAGGCGAATATCACGGTCAGTGGCGTTTCTCGGGGGAGGCCAAGTTCATCTGGGGCCCAACTGACTCAACTGGAGGTGAAACATTCAAAACAGTGGCCAGCTAAAGGGAAACAAAGACGTTGTCGCGTTTGTTCTATAAACAAGAAAAGCAGGAGCACGCTTTTCTGCTGTAAAATGTGTGATGTTGCGCTGTGTGTGGTGGACTGCTTCGAGAAGTGGTACACGTGCGTCAGAGTGTAAACTGTGAAGTGACACAGTCCAAACCGTGTACAGTCCAAACCAAATATTATTGTATATAGTGTCATCATATTTACATCGCCACCAAATGCCAAGCAATCCTCATGGAGGAGACACTGCCAGGAGATCAATGATGTACCAGGTGGTGCCAGACTCATGAGAATAATTGCAAAACAGGCAACCAATAAGGTCAGCACAATTAAGCTGCCTAACGGACAGTATATTCAAACAGGAAGGGAGATGCTGAATGAATTATTCAGAGTTCACTTTCCCGATTCAAAATTGATTGACAAATTGGACAATGGACAGGGTCAGCAGAACCTGGACACTTGCCAAAGCAAGATGAACAGGGTAGACTTGAACCTGGCCAAAGCCATAATTAATCAATCAAAAATAAGATGGGCACTGAACACTTTTAGACCATTTAAATCAGCAGGAACAGATGGAATTGTACCGGCACTTTTGCAGCATGGGGCGGAACTTTTAGTTCCACACCTATGCCGCATATATAGAGCCTGCTTGGCATATGGTTTTATCCCCACAGCCTGGAGGCAAGTTAAGGTGACGTTTATTCCAAAGCCCGGGAAACTTGATTATACAGAGGCTAAGGCTTATCGTCCTATCAGCCTGTCGTCTTTCCTTTTGAAAACGATGGAGAAACTAGTGGATAGGCATATTAGGGACGGGGTACTGAGGACATATCCTCTACACCGAAACCAACATGCCTACCAAACAGGTAAATCTACCGAAAGTGCAATTGAACACAAGGATATTGCCTTAGGAGCATTCCTTGATATAGAGGGAGCTTTTGATAGGACCTCATTTGGTGTAATCAAACAGGCTGCTGGAAGGCATGGCATAGAGCCTGCAATATGCAGCTGGAGCAATGCTATGCTGGAAAGCAGAACCATAGCTGCTACATTATCAGGAGAAACCCTGGGGGAGTCCGCATCTAGGTGATGTCCGCAGGGGGGCGTACTTTCACCTCTGCTGTGGAGTCTGGTCGTCGACGATCTCCTGTGGGGACTTAATGATGATGGGTATTATACAGTAGGATATGCTGATGACATAGCAATCCTCATAAATAGAAAATTCCTTTCGACCATATCAGAGCGTCTTCAAACAGCTCTGTACATGGTCCAATGATGGTGTGAAAGAACAGGTCTCTTCATCAATCCCAATAAGATGGTAAATATACCGTTTACTAGGAAGAGAAATATAAAGGGTCTTAAGGAACCGACTCTCTTCAATAAGACAATCCAGCTCTCCAGCGATGTCAAGTACCTTGGTCTAGAATTAGACAAGGGACTGACATGGAAAAAGCAGCTGGACAAAGTCATTAACAAAGCCTATAAGGCTTTTTGGACAGGCAGAACCATGTTTGGTAAAACTTGGGGACTGCAGCCACACGTTATACATTGGATATAAACTGCTGTTGTGAGACCCATAATTACTTATGGTGCCACAGTATGGTGGCCCAGAGTTAAATTCAAGACAAGCAAGACAGAACTTAGCAAATTGCAAAGGTTGGCTTGCTTGGGTATCACAGGAGCATGTCGAACATCTCCAACAGCTGCACTGGAGATACTCCTTGGACTCCCGCCACTGCATGTACAGTTGGATGCAGAGGCCAGGGCAGGAATTTACCATCTCCAGTGCAGTGGACAATGGAAACCTAGATCTGATGGTTTCGGCCATGCATACATGACTCAGGACATGAAAAAAGAACCCATATTACAAATGGGGTCTGACAAAATGATACTGAGACATGTATATGAAAAACCCTTCACAGTCAGATTTCCTGACAGGAGTGAATGGGAAGACGGGTTTCGGCCCGATAGAAAAGGGGGACTGATCTGGTTCACAGATGGTTCCAAGATAAATAAGGGCACTGGAGCTGGTGTGTACTGCCATGGCACGAGGTGGAAACTTAGTTTCAGCCTTGGGCAGTACACGACAGTATTCCAGGCAGAAGTATATGACATTAAGGCATGTATTATGGAGAATTTAGATAGGAACTATAGAAATAGGAACATCTACATTCTATCTGACAGCCAAGCTGCACTTAAAGCACTTGACAAACACCAGATCAATTCAAAATTGGTCTGGGATTGCCACAAAACCCTCATGTAACTGGCCAGACATAACAGGGTACAACTGATATGGGTGCCAGGGCATGAGGGTATTGCTGGAAATGAAGCAGCAGGCCAATTAGCTAAAACTGGAGCTGAACATCCATTCATAGGACCTGAACCAGCCTGTGGCATCTCTCTTGGAGTTGCCAAACAGGCAATCAGGGACTGGACTAACATAAAACATAAGAAATACTGGGAATCCTTAACTGGACTCAGGCAAGCAAAGAGACTCATACAAGGACCTTCCGCTAAAAGAGCGAAGGAATTGTTGAAGCTCAACAGGAACCAGCTACGATGGGTGGTAGGACTACTTACAGAACACTGTCACCTCAAAGGACACCTGTTCAAACTGGGACTAAGTGATAGTCCCACTTGTGAGATGTGTCAGATAGAAAATGAAACAGCCACACATGTCCTGTGTGAATGTGAGGCTTTAGCCTATTTAAGACTACGTCACTTGGGTCAGTACTTTATGGAACCAAGTGACTATTTTGGCACCCCCACGTCCAAAATCCTGCGCTTCATCCGAAGCGTGGGGTTGCACAATGGACCACTGAGGTCTAGGTGCAAGGGCCGAGAAGGCCTACCCCTCATACGTTCATTCATTCATTCATTCATACATCACCACCACGATTCAAGGTTGAAGAAAAACAATGTGTAAGTCCTTTAGATTTTCATAACGTATATAATAACGATTATATTTTGCATTTCATGACAAAATAATCACAGTTAATTTTAATTTGTAAAACTTGCCCTTTTGTATATATGTAGAAAATTTTATTGTCTTTTTAGTTCATATTCCGATGTTGCATAGAACGGAAAATATGCATTTTTTTCTGAAAGTCTGCAATGTTAAAGATTTAGGGCCATTTAAATTCTGGCCATAGGGAGCTGCCGGCAATTTAAAAGTCCCTATGTTAAAGGTTAAGAGCAAGGTGGTGAGGAGAATACTATAACATCTATTGTTTCTTTGGGCAGGTTTTGTCTCACTGACAGTATCATTTATGATCTTATGTCAGTTCCTCCTCAACCTGTTATTTCACGGCAACACCAATTTCTCTTTTTTCTCTTCTCTTTGCCTCCAATGAACTAGCTCATACATAATTCTGAGCACTTCTTACTTTGCACCTACCTTTACACAGTGTATCAAGTTACCAAACTGATGCTATTATAGTAATAATACTAATGCCAATTATCAGGGATGAACGGGACTACTTACAGGAAACGTTTATTCATATATGTGCAAGTTTCAATTTGTTTGGTTGGTGCATGTGAAGATTACAGGTGTGCATCAACACTTCAGTGAAACATCTTCAAAATCAGTGATGAAGACAGGGGCAACAAGTTCTTCCAAAATGCTGATATCCACTTATACCATTTAGCAACACAGAAGACCTCAAGCTGAATACTCATTGCCACAAAAATGTGAAATCTTAAAAAATGGTTAGATTTGGACAGAAACAGAAATGACCAGTGGGGGGGGGGACATGCCTTTATGCTGGAGCACATGGCAGGAAGAGCACCATTTTGTGAAAATTCTCCTGACTTTCACAGAAGGTATATGCCTACTGTAAGGAAGTATACATAGCCATTAAGATGCAATAAAGGAGACTGTGAACTAAGAAATATGCATACAAAAGTCTGAATTATTTCACCTCATTAGTTTCAGAAACTTATAAATCTCTTTGCAGTTATGAGCTTTTCTGGACAGAAACACAGACCAGCAAACAATTTAAACCATAGGCATCTGAGAACTCCAACAAAGCAATATAATAAATATCTATTAGACTAACCTTTAAAGTAATGATTACAATTATATATGGATCTAGAGAAAGGAATGTCTCAGCCATAATGCACTCCTGAACTAATCAACTCAGACTAAAGAGCATAAAATCACTGTCACAAAGAAATAAAAGTATTCAAAACTAATACAACATATTTCAGAAAAAAAGTCAACCATAAGTGTGCGCACACCTGCTCTGCTGCCATACTGGCCACGTAGTTTGCTAGTGCCTTCTTGATCCTAGAATCATTCCACCAAGCAGGGGTTGCTAGGTGACCAAGCCACTGCTGAGCCACTTCAACAGCCAACCGCCATGACAAACCTTCCTCATTGACAAAATCACTTTCCCTGACAAAAGAGACAAATAGTACTGAACATTATAAAGGAATGATCATAGCTGTGAAGAGTAAAATTAATCATTTTATTTTCCAAATCTATGTACTTGAAATGTACTCGAATGTTCCAACTTGCATAAATACATATAAAACTGCTACATGGATTTGTTTGCCGACACAAATTCTTTGCCATTTATCACCATGAATTCTCTCCTTCAAAGTGAGATCATCATGCCATATGATTACGAACTCCTCACATCAGTTCTGCTTGGAAAACCTGTTGCTTCTCAAGAAATCTTTTCACTCTGAATAGGAAAGTGTACACTGGTCTAGATGTGGGCTGCTCATCACTGTAGACTGCAGTGTAGCATACAGCAGTTGTGAGACTGCATCTCATTATTACAACATCTAGACACAACTCAAGATATCACTGAAAAGTTCAAAGTGAGACGTCATTTCGATGAATGATTTAAACATAGCTGCCAAGTGACAAAAGCATCTGAGCACATGCACACATAAATAAACAGAATTTCATCAAATTTACAAGTTGTTGCAACTAGCCAAACTTACTGTTCACTTCCACTCTGAGGTATTCACAAAATTTTTATTGAAAATTATAGAGCATATCCAAGAGTAATTATACATAAGAATAGGAAAGTGTGGCTTTTTTTGGTTTTGTTTTATATTTTAAATTAATATGTATTTATATAATAAAGACAAAGAAGTTAACTAGTGTAACTATTCTGGTACCATCACGCTCTTTTGTTTACTAATCTCAAAGCCCATAATGAAACTTGCAAAAAGAGTGTAGTGAACATGAAATATGTTTCACATACCTCTGCAACCTAAATTCAAACATTTTCCATTCTAACAGATATACAGCAAGTTACACTTGAAACACATACAGAAACATGTCTTCATGCAGTGACCAATCTTGTTGTCCTACTTTAACAAAAAATGGAATATGCCAACAAATGATAAATGATATAAACTCCGTCTCAAGTGCAAACAATATATTTGTGTCTTTGATCTTGCTCCCTACACTACATGTTTCGGCCTCAGACGGCCATCATCAGGTGTAAACACTCACGTCGCTGTCACACTGCACCCAGTTCAAAATTTAACATCTAAAACACTCTCCCTGTCATTATCAACTTCTATTTCGTTGATAGCTGTCCACCCGTAGATTACTTCACACACGTTAATTTTGAGTTTATTGTAATAGCACCATAATAAAATCTTTAGTTTTTATTTAGTTTTAGTTTATATCATTTATCGTATGGAGTGCAACAGGATGCTTAAATATAATATTATGCCAACAAAGTTTATTGACACTCCCCAATATCACATTTCATGAAAACACATTTGGTATTTCTCAAGCTGTCACAAGCAGATGGAAAGAAATTGAAAAGCTAACAGAAACACTTCCACAGTTTTCCGTGGCAATGTGAGAAAAATTAAAATTTTAATAAAATATGTAACAGTATTTCATAGCAGTTGCATTAATTATTGTCAACTTGAAGCATGACCTTAAGTTGTGATCCAATATTCAGAAAGAGTTGCAAACAAGTGGCAAACAGTAACACACAAGCAGTGCCATAAATAATACACATCTGTTTGAACCAACTTACTTTAGGATGATAAGTCCCCAGAGATCAGCTGGTTCAGGATCAGAGTAATAGGGCAGGGCCACCAAGTCAAGTTTTGGAAGAGGAAATGGAACTGTCAAGTAGTTTTCCATGAATTCCAACATCAGACACGCCTTTCGCAGAACGTCTTGCACTTGGGAGAGAAAACTGGGGCGTGCGAATACAGACACCCTCACTCCACCTGGACCAACACACAACTGAGATTACTATTTCTCTAAATAAGGTCAGTAATCTGCAAACTGCAGGATGGCTGTGAGCAGCCCTCTTCACCTCGGTAGCAACTTGTAGTGTTGTTCCACTTTGTTCAATCTGATACTAATATTCAATGTCAAAACAAAGCCCATTTGAAAGAGAAGCAAATGAAAGTCTAAGCAATGGCCATGAAATATCTGAAAAGTATAGAGGGAAAAACAAGAAGACAGCACAAACTCCATCACATTCAGAAATTTTCTATGCACTATCATAAATCCAGAGTCATGCTCTCAAATTTCCAGAAATATGATGCTTTTTTGCTCTTTCTCAACAAATTACTGTTTTAAGAAACAGTTATGAAAAATATAAAATGTGAATTGGTATATAAATAGCTAAAGGAGTGTACCACTTTGAAGGGTGGTTCATGTACAACAGGACAGAGTACATACAGGTACAGAATGGCACACGAAATATGAAATGATGCAGTATTTGATCTATTAATAAAATCTTTATTTCAAGTCCAATACTAGAAATTAACATACAAAAAGAAAGGCCAGTAGATGGAGATTTATCCTCTGCAATTCAAGTGTTCAATATGACCACCATTATGTGGCAACTTCAACATGAACTGTGATGATGTTGATTACTCGATGGCACATATTCTCAGTTATCTGATTGCAGGCCTCAGTGATTAGTGCTCTCAATTCCATTACTGTTTGTGGCTTTTTCAGAAAAATCTTTTCCTTAAGGAATTCCCAAAGAAAGTAGTTGCATGGGTTTAAATCAGGACTATTTGGAGGCCAGTTCTGTCCATGCAAAACGGTCAGGAAATTGGTTTAAGAAGACATGCAAGTCAAAAGTGTCATGTAGAACGTCCAAAACAACATTTGCTGTGTGTGGCCTGGCTCCATCCTGTATGAACCACTGAGTTTGTAATGGCAAAACCTGTAGCAAGAAGGTAAGTCACAAAAGTATTGTGCAACATGCTCAAATAGCGCTCACTGTTCACTATCTCTTCAAAGAAAATTGGCTCTAGCAGTCCATGACTTGAGATAGCGACTCACACCATAGTTTATGGTGAAAGATGCACCTTCTTATGAATCACGTGTGGATTCTCTGACACTCAAAATTGCACATTATGTTTATTAACCAGACCATCCAAATGTAAGTGTGCCTCAACAGAAAACCACATATTGTTAAATGATACCTCATTATTCTGAGCCCATTCAGCAAATGCCATTCACTGACGTTTGTTCTGAACTTAAGTTTAGGCAGCACTGTCATTTTGTATGGACACAAATTCAAATCACTATTCAATATTCGTTGCACCGATCGTCTGGATATCCCTAGTCGTGCTAATCTTCTGATCAGATGAGAGTATCAGCTCCTAGCAAAACCATACACCATGCAGGTAGTTACACATTTTGTATCCTCTAAACATCAAGACATGGCCTGAAAATGGTTCAACATCATGGTACCACAAGGAGAGCAGGCTAGAAACAGTGCAATATAACTGTGCTTCAGCACACTGCGTGCTCCACCCACCTTTGGCATGAGTTGATATGGTCTCCAAATCCAACAGAACAACTGCCACAGAAAAGGTTGACATGAGGGGTGTCTCCTGGAAGTGTACCCAGCTCCACTCTGTCTCATTCCTCCTACAAACAGGAGTCACGATTATACAGCCATTTCTGGGTACCATCACGGCACCCTTAATCTCAAAATGAGTTCCTTGACGGGGGTCAGATAATCTCAATATAAAAAGAAAAACATTGTTAGCACCAATTGAGAATGATACCATAACAATGCCACTGATAAGAGCACAATCCTTTCCAGATGGATGGTGACAGGGTACACATTTCTGAGTATTTTGCCTTGCATATGCCATCGTCAGTCACACGCATGCGCACATGCCACAAAATATACATTGCAATATTTTGAAATGTGTGATATTTAATGACATTTCTTTTAGCTCTGTTACTGAATGACTAGACAATTGAGGAAGAAATTATATGTGGCCTTCCTTAAGGTACTATCCTAGCATTTGTTTGAAGGGCCAGAGAAAATTCCCTTCCCCCGCAGATGGCCAGTCTACAAGTCAAATATTGTGATGTGTATTACAATTACGAGGCAATGGCTTGGTGAACATTTCCATAAGTTACACTTATAGAAGGACATCTGTTGCCGGGTACCAGACCAATAAACACGTGGCTATAACAGTATGTGACAAGAATGAAATATGTTTTCTATGTCGTCCACACCAAGACTGTTTGCTGGGCAACTGAGTGGTAACATGCCCCTACAACAACAGGGGAAGTGGTGTTTTCTGTGCTGTGTGGTCCATGTCATGACTATATAAAGAAGAAAGTTTGAAGGAAGCCAGAACCGATGGAATACCTCCACTGTAGCCCTGTGAGTTTCAGGAGTGTTTGGGGCTACCTTGCCCTTGGAGGTTATAAATATGGGGACCTGGGCCTCCAACTTGGGGAAGTCTCGAATGTGAGAGAGTAAAATGCAGTCATGAGTCCTGCAGGACTCAGACCTGAGGATGTCTGCAATAGCAAGAGCCAGCAGCAATTATAAATGACAGACCCATCCACTCATCAGAGAGGATGTTACATAAGGACTATGACTGCAAGTCTTCATTTGAAAAAAAAAAATACTGGTCATGAGCCTCAAGGGGCTTCTCACCAAGATGAACGGATTGGTGGCAAACTGCCAGTCTTAAAGTAACTCTGACTCTGACATCAGAACCATGAGAATGGGAAATGCAATGGAGTATAACAGGGATTAGAGAATTGGAATTGAGTCAGTTGTCGGTAGGAGATAGCCAAGGGAAGTTAGTAGCTGAAGAAGAATTAGAAGTCAGCCTATGAAGACTTTGTGGGTGATTAGAAGATTTAGTCACAGTGAGAGTACTTTAATTCCATTACCAGGATATGACTAGTGAAGACTGAGAATCCTAGTGCGTGTGTAATGGCAAACTGTGAATTGTGTAAATCAGTGATAGTGCTGTATTGCTTGTAAGCATGAGTTGAGTGTATAAGGTATTAAATAAATCCAATCATCCAATCCAAACCCTGTCTATAGTCACAAGACAATATGAAGCAGGCATGCAACCACTTTACATGTAATTCCCATGCAGACGTCCATATTAATTCCATGAAAAAAATGACACTGGGCAATTTGACATGAGATACTGGAACTGGCCAAGTACAGTTCTCCCCAAAGTGTGGGGCATGATGGACCATATCTCAGTGCTGGATCCAAATCTGTATCATTGCTGAGACAGACAACTTCCTTTCACATTTCATAGTCCACATACAAAATTCATTCATCTAAGCAACAAGATGATAGCCACCTACAATTTACTCAATTGCTGCTTATAACAGAATGTTACTATTCAAATTCCTTTTATCATATCCAAAATGACTCCATTAAGTTAATTTTGGTGTAATGAGGCAAATCAGAACTTCCTCACAATGTCAAATCATATCTCAAATCAGAAGAGATTTATTTCAGTACAATAAAACAAACCTTCAAATTTGCAAACTAGGGAAAAAGGTACATGCCAACTACCACCTGTTATCATTAATTAAAATAATTAAAAGTGACCAGTTGCACCCTCATGTCAAAGAGCATAGCAGCAACTTACATTTCGTCAATGGATCTGACTGGCATGTTGGAAAGGGCCGTCATCCGGCTAGTCCTTGCAACACTGATTTCAAATGAAGCCTTTAATTCTGGCTCATCAAAGCAGGGGAAGACCAGTCGTGCATTGCTTGGAGCCATTTTGGTGGCTGCAAACCATCTGCAATACAATAAGACAAAACAATTTTTCAGAACATCACACAGATGTTTTTCGACTGAATGATTAATTGCCCTATACAATAAAGTTCAAGCTGAGATAGCTAATTCTGTCTCCACAAGAAGATTCATATAAACAATGGTATAAGCACTTACTAGGGGCATGTGGTAGCGTAGTTGGTTGAGGCACTAAGCTACAAGCTGGAAGTTCGCAGGTTCAAGTCCCAATGAGGTGGATATTATCAGTTGACCTAATCCTTCCAGACGCACTATGGACCTGGGGTCGCCTCAGCCTCTTAACAGAAATGATTACCAGGAACCTTCCTGGAGGGTAAAGGGTGGCTGGCACGTAAGGCTGACAACCTTACTGCCATCTGTGAGCTGACTGTCTAAATAATGTGGGAGCCTCAATATCTCGCAACCCTATGGGCCTCCATGGCCTGTTATAAGGATAGCTTTTAAGCTCTTACTGCTGTGACAGCATATTTTTACATCAGAGACACGTAACTAGGAAGGCTTGTAGCTCATAATGTTTAGTTTGTATGTTCTGTAGCGATATATCTGTAAAAAGATGCTTTCCTTTATCTGGTAAGCACCGATGACACATAGAAGTTACTCAAGTGTTCAGTACCATGGCAAGCAGGCATACAAGAAAAGTGCATTCTTAACCCTGGCACTCAATGCATGCAAACAGATTCATCCATTGGTCAACTCCAGCCTGAGGTAAAAGCTTCCAGTATTCATCTGACAGGAGCAGAAGTGGGTACAAGAGCCATTCTGAACTGGGTTATTGATTAATGGATTTAAATGGAGTCAAATGAAATGATAATTCACAAGAATTAACTTACCCCATTGCAGGGAGACTCATGACAACTACTGGCACTCTGCACTTGGCAAGAACAGGTTTTGCTTGCAACAAACAGTTCTCAATTATCCCTGATATTTTAACTTGTCACTCACATATGGGAGGAAGATAGCAAACTGTATATCATTTAGTTTGTTCCAGGTGTTTACTCTCAATCTGTAGGCAATTTGTTCCTCTGAACTGTCAGCTGACTTTTGCCACGTTACAAAGACATTAGTTCCCACAAGACTAGACTCGTTATACAGTTTCTGTGTTTCCTTTTCCAGAATCACTGTAGGTCAGAATAGCCAAAGTTAAGATTTTAAAAGGCTATTTGAAAGCCCAAATAACCAGTAGAAGTTCTCCACACAAGACATAAACTTTAACCAGCAACACACTCTGATAACACATTGAAGTGGCTTCACACTGTACATCGTGTCACATACTGGACAAGAACTTCAGGGTGAAGAAAACTATGGCCATGGCTCTGCCATGAACTGAACAATTGGCCAAACTATCTTGGCTCTCCTGCCCATACATACGCTTTACAAATGAGATTAACATTCACTAGCTGAGAACAGGTGTATAAATCCCTGGCGCTGTAGGTGCGGCAGCCACATTTGAATTCAAGGGTAACAGTTTATAATAAGGGAATAATAGTTTTTAAATCTTCCACATCTGTGTATCTGATGACCATATTTTAATGGAAGGTAATAGCAATAATATATTGAAAAGTGCAATGGTTGGCCAGTTGGACCACAGAAAGTGCCACTGCACAACTGATAAGTTATTGCTTACAAAAACTGTTAATATTTCAAGACACATAAACAACCTGCTCTAGCAGCTAATATGGCACTTTGTAGACACAGAAATTCTTCACTTATATACATAATTCACATATAGAAATGTGACTGTCCCCAGTATAGAAAACAACATGGCAGTAACAAATGCAGAACACAGCATCAAACTCTTCAGCTTTTAGGCAAGCAAAGTATGGTTCAATGTCATTGAATTTAAAACACATATTACTTAGAAGAACAACAGAAACAGTAAAATTATAAGCATTTCACTGTCCACTTATACTAACCTCTCTTCTTTTGTCCGATGCAGTTGATAACTGGCACGAAAGAATCCCTGGGTGGTATCACTGGTCAGGGTGCCTGTGAAGGAGAGGTCTAGCTGATAGACCATATCTTTCTTCAACTTGTCTGCTAGACTTATAACATACCACTGCTTTGAAGGTTCCTTCTTTGTGCTGGAAATTGTAACAGGCAGCACTGATGACACTGAAGACCTTCAACAGATACAATTAAGGATCATGAAAATCTGAAATACAAAGTCCACAAGTATATTATTGAATGATGCTTTGTCCAATAGATGACTGGGTAAGGGATCATTTCCTCGATACCTAGTAGTATGATAAGAAACAGAATGTCCTAAAAACTGACATGAACATTTTTGCCTCGTGCAAGACTCAAATTCTCAGGATCAAATTAAGAAAAAATTCTTTCCTGATTTAAATATTTACTTTTCAATCTCAGATTTCAAGAAACTTCTGACAGCTGCTCTTACATCACATGTCATGGTCATGTCATCAAAAGTGCTTGGTACCATATCTGATGGAAGACAAATTCCCCCCCCCCACACCTATGTTACAAATCTATGAATCATCATGAATTTAAATGACAAACATGCACATGTTTTTAATCCAAGCTATTAGCATGTTCGTAGCACAGCTCACATCTTGCACTGTTGCAAACTATGTGAGAGTTGCAAGTGTGAAGCCAAGAAAGAAATATGTTCAAGGTCAGAAGCCATGAGCTGCCTGAAGTGTCATCAAAGTTACGAAACAAAAGGGTAATTCACCGATTTACAATATCACGAGATTCTGTGCTAATGCAGATGTTCTGGAAAAATTGCAGGTCATGTCAAAAAAAATATTAGTGTGAAAAGGAATGACATGTCTTCTGATATTCATTTTCTTTCACATGGTTATAGTAAGTCTATGAAGTTAATTCATAAAACCACTTTTGCTGTGCTAACATGTTTCCTAGTGCAGGGTCATCTTCCATTCAAGTAAATATGGTAGCACATTTTGGTGCACTATGAAAAGGTTGCTACAATAAAAAAATTGGTTTACTAGTGAAAATTCTCATTCTTGTCTTGATTCTGGGAATGTCTCCAAATTCTTGTTTTCAACTGAAAAATTCATTCTTGCACACATCTAGAAAATTCTTCTGATGAAATTGGTATAACAAACTACAAAATACTGTCACATATGGACATTCACAAACATGATACATACATTAACTTTCTTATCATTTGTGCATATGTAAAAATAATCTTTCCAGAGAAATCTAATCTCTAACTACCATGATCATCATTACAGACAAGTAAATTCTATTCTCATTTGTTGAATAAAAATGCTTGTTGAACTGACTTTTTATGGCAAAGAAACTGATTTCGTGCAACTGTGTTGTCTTATGGGATTTGAAAAATGCTTTACTCAAGCTATTTTAAATTATGAGGACATCAAAGTGAAAGGACATTGAGCAATAACTGAATAATCCAGCACAGGCACTTCTAAGGCTAGTTAAGTTGCAAGTTTCAGCTCACAGCAGACATCATAAAAAACAATATGGATTCATAATGGACAGTGAAGGCAAACTGGAATGTTATACGCACTTAACCAGTTTCCAGTGGCAAGAGTACACTGAGGTCCCCATGCAGCCACATAAAAGGCACTGGATGTCTAGCAATTTCCTTAATTTTTTAGTCCCTCTCTATCTGTGTACAGAAGCAGGAGATATTTACCCATTTCCTCTGTGACTGAAAGGGTAATCTGCCTTAACATTAGGATCCTTTGGTTGTGAAGCAGGCCTTCCTACAAGTTGTTTGACAGTAACCTCTGAATGCGCTATGCGCAAGTTCTCATGAGCATGCAATATTATGATGTTTGTTGCCTCATGACATGTTACATTTATCTGCACACGACCCTTAAAGAAACCCTCTTCAGGAAATGGATGAAGGTCCAAATGGTATGCAGTTGGAGTTACATCCCTTGGTAATCGCGAGTCATCAACATGGGCCTTGGCATCTCTTAAGTCAACACTTCGTCTTGACATGAGACGTCCTGCTGCAGGTTTATCTTCATAGCCTTGCACTTCTCCACTGGGCAACTGAAAAATATTCAGCACAAATTAAGAAAAGGGAAAGGAAGGTTTTTTAATCTTCACGAAGACAAAAAATGAAATTTGTAATTCTTCAGAACACAAAAATCCATTGTAAATTGAGACAGGGCATGACAAATTTTCTTGGGATGTATAGGAGCTGGACAAATTTTTTGCCCTTGAGGGACATATATTGCAATGCCCAAACACATACAGGCATACTTTTGAGATACTGCAGGTTTGCTTCCAAATCATTGCAACGTAGAAGAAAATGCTTCTGGAACATAACACCAACAACTCCATAATCAGGTGAGCCAGAATCGCACATTATCTACATTCATAACAACTAGTCAAGACAGTAATGCTGATGAAGTTATGGCTGCTGAACTGGTTCAAATATCTCATGCTGTACATCCTTAAGCATTCCTTCAGATCACTTGACTGTGGACTGAAATTAAATGTTTTATATTTCACGATGCAATATCACAAAAAATCTTGCAGCCATGCAAAATCTTGTGCGATTGTAAGTGAAGTTTCAGCACCCGCTTTTGTAAAGGAAATCATAAATACATTAAATTTATATATGCTTGAAGAATATGCTTACACTCTTCCTTTTTATTCTGTGGCAAGCGATGCTTCAAACTACAGCCATACCAAACAGTTTGCAATCATACTGTTGCATGTACAGCCAACGCTATTCAATGACTGCAAGATAGCCGAATAAACAACGGCCGTTTATAGGCAACAGATCAGTAAACATGTGCTTGTGGCAATGAATATGCATGCAACAATAGTTACTGTTTTGTGCTTGGTCCATGGAAAGGGGTCATGAGGAAGGCAATTGGGGTGATGTAATCAACTGGGAATTGAGTTCTGCAAGGGAGGCTGAGATGGTGCTAGTGTTCAGTTAACAACTCAGTTGCGGAGTGTTAGCCAGCAGGCAATGGCATGACCACATGAGCTGAAGAATTTCCATTATTAAGATCCATTACCAGGAAACGACTGGTGAAAGCAGACTGAGAAGTCTGCTCTGGTGATTTCTGAAGTGTGTAGATCAGCAGTAGCATTGTAAGCGCTTGTAGTTCCAAGTGGAACATGGAGCAGATGTTGTTAAAATTTTATGAAGAAAGTTCTATTTCTATTAAGGAAGACTTTCTTGTCTTCTATGATCAATCTCTCAAATATTTGGAAAAGTGGTTTGATTTCTCTGAGAACAATTACCTGTATTAAATCCAGTTTTTATCACAGAAAAAGGAACCAACACATTCTAATTTCAAAGAAGCTGCTGTTGTTTTGATATTAAAGAGGTCTATCAACTTGAATGAATTATGCAAAGAAATTTATATAATAAAGCCTACACTTGCATTGTTTCTGAATGACAAATCCAAGCAAAGTCTTTGTTAGTGACAAATGGTGTCAAATAATTGTGGTGGCAGGCAGTGAGCTTCCAAATGTTGCATAACTTTTGTTTGTGCTACCTGTTCCTGTGTACAGCACTTATGGGGAGTGAGTTTTCTCAATTATGAACTGCTAAAGGAAATGTCGACAAAATAAGAACAGCATAAACTTAATAAAAAGTAAAACTGCAGTAAAGATGAATTATAAATATATCTGTTAGGACTTTTACACATTTATGCTTAAGGAAAAGGATATCCTCAAAGCAGCAAAGGAAAAAAAAAGAGTATGTCTTTAAATTCCAATAAAGAACCAAAATTCATAAACTGAAAATTTTTATTTTCGATGATTCATAAAATGCAACAATATATTTCATTTTTATATGTATATCAATTTGAACTGCCTGTATTTTGTTGATTAAATAAAAAAATATTTTAGTTCCTGTATTTTTTTTTCTTTTTAATTTCTTAACTCTTACATTTGGATGTCTGATTTGTAAAGTCTTTTGAATAATATGTACTTTAAACAATAATTAGCATGTGTACATGTAAGCTAAAGTCAAAGTGTTACAACAGCAAAGACTTTTATACTGTTTGTTCTTGCCAACCCCTTCCCCCTCTGTATGCCAGCAAACAACAGACACTGTTACAATATCCTGCAATATGGAAGTGAAAAGGTGGTCACCCTATTCCCACACCACAAAAAGAAACATAATGTGTCTCCGCTGCAAAAACCAATGGGTGAATACAGTTTAGGCAAATAATTGCTTGTTAATTCTAAGAAGAGCATGAAATCCACAAATGCATTGTGGGCAAATACAAATTCCCTTAATGTTCAAGCAGGTTGGTACATATAGTTTCCACTGTGCTTTAATGGGTTACCAGAAAACAATAACAATAAGAACTTGTAATTATAGGCATCTAACAAAGTTTACACAAATGCTTTATATCTATTGGAACTGGCTGTGATGCTTTCATAAGCAAGTTCTGAATGTAATCACATGACACACTGGTTTGCCTGAGGAATATCAGAAATACTTACCTTAGAATGAAGAACTTTTCCTGCTGGAGTGCCCACGGTTGCCGCTGCCAACAGGAATAGAGCTGCTCCTGCCACCCACACTACTTGCAGCATGGCCACAGTCCAATCTTGTCAACTTTCTATGAAACATCAATATACACATAAACATGTGTTTATGTTATCTGCAAGAGCTCCACAATTGTAAAATGAAATAAAGAAAATGGAACTGAAAAGCTTCATCTTGTCAAATTAACAAAATAATACAGAGACACATTTTACAAAACAATTTACTTATTATTATCCACTGTAATTTATGTTTGTAGTAATTCATCAAAGTGGGTGAATAATATTAAAGTGAATCTTAGAAGGACAGGTTGGTGTTGTATGGACTGGATTGATCTGGCTCAGGATAAGGACAAGTGGAGGGCTCTTGTGAACATGTTAATGAACTTCTGGGTTCCGTAAAATGTTGGGAAATTCTTGAGTAGCTCCGCAACTGGTGGTATTCTCAAGAAGGGCTCAGCTCCATGGAGTTGGTTTGTTACAGAATACATATAATGTGATTACTTGACACTGCAAATATTTATACTAAGATTACCTGGTAAATGTATAATAATTCATCACATAACATTATAAATTCTATACGTGACTTCTCACAGACATTATGAAGCACTTATTTATAAGCCACTTGCAAAGAAAGCTTGCAGTTATGTGGTAGGTGCTGCTATCATGATGTCGTACAGTCAAAATGGCCAATACCTTTTTGCATTAAGCCTCATTAATTCACAATTTATAAACATAGTAGCAGGAGACCCTCTGTAATGCTCCCACTACCAAGCAAGGAGGCCAAAGCACGAGTACTGACACTTCAGGCTTGTATTCAGAATGTTCTCAGTTCAAATTTCAAGCTGGATGTGACTGATCCCAACTGATATTTCCATGATTTTCCTCAGTTCCTCTATACAAATGAAATGCAAAAGCTACCAATCACATCCTTTCTGATTCGCTGTTCAGTAATCATCCTACCATTTGACACTTCATACTCTGAGTGACTATGTCAAATGGGCCGTGCCACAGCTCAAGCAGTTAGTCGCTGGCTTCCCACCATGGCGGCCCGGGTTTGGTCAAGTGGGATTTGTGGTTGACAAAGTGGCGCTGGGGCAGGTTTTCTCAGAGTACTTCGGTTTCCCTTGCCAATCTTCATTCCACCAATTGCTCCACAATCATCCTCACCTATCATCTGGGGCTGGTACAATAGGCTAGAAGTGGCCGCAGTACAAGGGACTTAGTCCCACCCCACTAGCATTAAAAAAATGTCAAAAACATGATAAAGGAACTTATGACCTTCCCAGAGATTTCCAGCACCTTCAGAAAGGATTTCCCTTGCTATTATAAGCCTGTTATTACATTCAATTAAAAAAATGTTTTTTTCTAACTTACCACTGCAAGACTTGTAGATTCTGTACTGTCGATTGTACTGATACTTTGGTCCCAGAGTCAGCTAAGTTTTAACATATAGCTAATGACCTCTACCAAGGGTATCCACTCTTGTATGGCAGTGGTGTTTCAATCTTCATAATGTAATAGAAATGTTTCATCATCATCGCTCCCATAATCTAATACCGCCATCACGTGACTCCTACACAGCCTGGCATATTCAAGTTACCACAGAGAAATGCCAGCAGATCACACTGGCATAGGGTGGAAAATACTTCAAATTAAGCACACAAATTATGCCACAAAGGCAGGTCAGAAATATGCATTTATTCTCCTTGAAAACCCTAAAGATATAATATTTCTGTAGTTACTACAGTATTCTGACAATGGTGTATAACGCACAGAGATATTGGGTTTTCAGACTTTATCCATTGTCCGGGTTTTAAGATAACTAAGAAAAACGCCTATTCTGTTGGCTCCCTTACAAAGAGCTAGCCTCATTCACTGGGTCCAGTGATGTTTCTTTACTGTTTCAAATTTCTCTTCATGAAAAATGTAATTACCGACACTTGCAAATTTTTCTTTTCCATATATCAGGTTCATATTCTACAGATTTATCAACACTTGGAAACATCTAGTACATAACTGTGATGTGGAAAGGCAGTGTTCCAGTTTGCTGTTATCAAACAGAACAATGTAACATACTGAGTTTTTACTTAGTGACTTTAGTCCTTCTGAAGAATTAATTATAGTCCTGAAATATATTTTTCTATTCTTCTTCTACAATAGGCCATATGGTATCCCTCACAGCCTAGGAGCTGCCATCTGGATTTCCCTTACTATGTGACACACATTATCTATGGAAATGAATTAGTCACCTTCCTGTGACCTTCCTCCTGCATCAGTGGATACATGTCAGTGCACAACATACCGTTTTCCTGGCATTTATTTTTATGATATTCTAGGTTTACACTGATACAGGAATGACAGGATTTCTCAGTTACTTTGGACACTTTCCTGAGCAGACTCAAGCTTTCACCATGAATTTAAAGCTAAAATTCAACTGAAACAGTTTACCAAGTATAAACTATAAACTGTGTACACATGATCAGGAACAGTCAACGAAACAGAAAATATTCCCCTTGTCTCATGCATCGTACACTAGTTCAATCCAGCTAACACTCTGACATCCTACTGATGCATCATCCTCTCATAATACCTAATGAACTTTAGCAAGTATCAGAAACCGAAGTGGAGAAGAACTTTCACAGGCTTACAACTAGTCTTACTACAACAGAACCAAGAGGTCAAAATATTTCTCTGAGCACTTGTAATTTATTTTCTTTCTTTAGGATGACAAAACTCATTTCATAATGAGATTTGAGACTCTTATGGTACTGATACCAATCTTTTGGGACATGACTCCATGTAGCATAATAGACAGGTAAAAATGTTTTGGAGGAATCTTACTGTGTCCAACTTCAGGATAAAAGAATGATTTGTTAAACTCTTTTACCTTGAACATAAAGGTGGTAAATACCTTCAAAATGTTGGTACCCACATAACAAGCTACATGGTATGAGATCCTAGAGGCTATAACTTCATTTCACAGTCATACAAAAGAACTGACAGCTGTTAAGTACTAGAGTAACAATAAACTATAACCCCTTACCACACTTCATGATGTCAGATCACAATTCTTGCTTTAACTTCTCTACTGGTCTCTTTTAATGTGGGATACCACTTGAGGGAGTTGATGAAGTAATGGCAGTGAGTGGAGCCCCATTATCCAGTTTACTCTGTGAATAGACTAACCATGAACCCATTATATATGTAACAACTTTCACCCACAACCTAGTTACCTAGAAGAGCATACAGTCGAACACACAGTTTAACAGATTATAACATGAAAGTGTTGCATTTACGAGAATAAGCTGCACAACAGTGAATGACATGTGAAAGAAAAATGTGGATGTGTACTGCATCAAATGATGAATGTGAAGACCAGACTATTTGGGCATATGTTCACTTCCTACAATATATCTTGGAATCATACATAAACTTGTACATAAATATTATTTATAAATCACATAATTACAAAAAAAAAAAACATATTTTTACTTACATAATATATTTGTTCCTGTTGGTGCCAACTGGAACAACTATCATGTGACCCCTCAAAAAGTATCCAGCAGTTCACTTCTTTCCCCCCCCCCCNCCCATGATATTTGATGTACATTGGTGTTGCATTCTTTTTGTATGCTGTTAAATATAATTTGGGCTGGGAACAGTTAAGTACATCATCACCCAATTTTAGGGGCATCTGGGCACAGTGAAACTGGCACTGTAACTTCTACGGCAGTGCCACAGCAGACATAAGTGGTGTATACAAAACTATATGAGGACTGAATTTCATCCTTAATACTTCCACTGTAAAAGTCTCTCTTCTTAACATCAATTTCCAGGACCACATATGGAGACAGATACCATCTACTTGGATGCAGATGATAAATTTTGGGAAAGCTATTTCCAGTGCCTTAGGGCATCATAACTATCATTTTCAACAGTGATACTTGTGGGAGTAAATCTAATTTCATTTTCTGTGATGATCATTCCCCTGGGCTTGTATACTGATCTGGGACATTATTAAATTTGGAAAAGCAATTTCCACCCCTTTATTATTTACCCAAATGGAATCATTCCTTCACATGTTCACATTAAAATTATGTACATAAATATACATACACATGTTACATATCCTGCTCATTTAACCCTCCTTGGTTAGTAAAATGAGATGATGCCTCCCCACATCCCTTTAGGTTCTTGTTTCAAGTCATTTTAGACTGCCCCCCGGCCTTCAGAAAGGAAGCTAAGTAAATAGAAATTTAACAGAGATGAGTTCTATCAGTGCACACATCTTTTGCTAGTCCAGTCCCATCACAGTTCACAGAAATCCTTTTGCAGTCTGGTAAGCAATCCCAATAAAACAAGCCACTTATTAAAATGAGGTGTTGTCAAAAATCCTTTTAGTTCCAGACATTCCATATTCATTGTGTGATGTGCCTATTCGCATTCAAGGATGGATACACGAGGAAGAAACAAATTACAGACAATTTCTAAGATTTTTTTTTTACATAGAACTTCATTTCATACTTTGTATAAATGTCAATGATTTCATTTACACACAACAAAACATTCAACATAATGCTATGTATTATGAAGAGCTCTTTATAATACAGTTTCATTGATTGTCCTTCTGTGAAATTAATGAAGCATGAAAGCATGTGTACTTTACATGAAAACACAAAATAGTTTAAGTGAAAAATTGACATATACATATGAAGAACTAGAACCTGCAAGACATCAGACAGACTTTGGTTTAAAATATTACCAGGTGGGTACATTTAATGCAAACAGGAGATCATAACATAAAAGCATTTTAACTTGTCACTTTTATCAGCATTTTACACTGCCTGAAAAAGTGATAAAAATGTAATATATAAGATTTGAGGTTTTCATGGCGGTGACTGTGAAGAAAGCCATCCTCTGAGATGTGGCGCCACATCCCAGAAGACAGCTTTCTTCAATGTAATATATGTTTGCAATAGTTCCTTCCAATGAAAAACTAATAAAATACTGATTGACCTCTACATTACAACACTTTCACAAGAAAAACATAGAAACATTTAGCATGATCAATTTATGTGTAACAACTGAAGAATCTGATATATAACTGCAAAAAAATAACCAAACAAGATAAATAGTTCTCATGTACACGACTAAAATGCCTCTATAGCAGTTTATGACAGTGACGTAGATATGACATAAGAGCCACTTGTAAATGAAGATAAATCATCCAAAAAATTAAAAATTTGGTAATGACTGATCAGCTAGTACATTTAAGAAACATACAGGGCTAAGTAAGGGGGTAAGAAGTTATGAATTTGAACTTAGGAAACATCACTACTCAGACATTTATGACAATAAATGCAACCTAACAATGAGTTTAAATATAAAAGTACCCTTTGAAACGCTCATCAATGATTTGCGTTAAAGTTTCTTACATTCTTGTATGAAGGCAAGTTATGGAAAACACCATTATCACAAAGAGTGAAATATCATATGAACCAGCCTCACACATATTGCACTGGTCGCAGTACACTGTTGATGTGAACAAGTTCATGTCACCTAAACAAGCATTTAACAAACATGTTTACTTTGGCAAGTTAGCTTCTATACTTCCTTTATTTCTTAAATTTAATATATATATAATATATGTACACATAACTAAAAATAGAAAATATCCACAAAGAACTTGAATCTACATATTTTAATACAATATCGAGGCCTACCATTTTCCGCTATTCACAACACAAACTGAAACTGATGACACTTGCTTTCAACAACAAGTTTTATCAACTTCAGTTTATCACACCAACTCACACAACCATAAATGCAGTGTAATTCAAAATCATCTCCTAACATCTTCCACACTAACACCTCTGCCTGGTAAACCATAAAAATTTTCATTTTTATTTTTATATATATATATTGTATATATATGAATGTAATTTGTTTAACAAATAACATGATACATGTATACAGAACTTACAGCACATAAAACTAAAGACTGCAGTGAATTGTATTCCTTAAAGCGTTACTTCTCAGACTGAACAGAAATCTTGAACTGCCCAGTAGCAACACCTTGTCTGTGATACACTTTACATCTTTACGGTGTTTGATGCCACCTGAGGTGGAAACAGTGCACTAAGGAACTGAGAAGGAGGGTAGCTACAATATAGTATCAAATACTATGTCTTAAAAAGCAAAAATATAGTTCTAAATGCATATAATTTTGTAATGCTAAGATGAGCACACTACACCCCAAAGAACAGAAATACACGAGAAAGCAGCATAGAGTCTACAACAGGGCATGTTTATTTTCAAAACCTCTTATCAAAAGAACAGTTTTATTCAACCAAAACATCTGTATTGCAACAAACATACCTAACAATGCAGCTATCAGTACATTAGTAAATAACTGTGATCCAATGCGGTAACTTTGATCAAATCACATATCAACATGTAAGGATCTTGTTCTTTACTAGCACAAGATCAAATTATGGCAACCTCTCAATGCCAGAGCTGAAGGAAGGTTCCACTTTGCAAAGAATTTTTCAAGTCTGTTAAACATAACTGTACAAAGGATCTAATATGGTGTACAGGACACTTTTCCACCTGAACATGTGAAATTCCATGTGCAGCAGAAGGCCTTCTTCATCTGACAAGTCATATTTTGGTGTGGGCTTAGTACCTGAGTCATTATTGGTCCAATATTGCTAGGAGGAAAGGTAACCAGTGTCATAACTCTACAGCCACTTAACAGTGAAGTGCTCCCATCACTGACAATACATGTCTGCATACTGAAATGCTGGAAAAGCTGTACAAACATTTTAATTTGTCAGTAACATCACACCAATTTCCACAATAAATACCAATGTAACTGTAGCCCTCGGATATTAATCCCTGTGACTTATTTTTGTGGGGTCTGTTACAAGTTCACCTCTTCCGCAACAACCATCATACAGACATTACTGGGGGGAAAATGATAGGTGCAGCAGTCTAGTGTTTCATTCTTCACTTACAGTTATACCTTCATGGTTCTCTCATTGCAAATATTCCCAGCCATAAGAAATCTTCAAACATTAGTTTCCTTTCCACATCACCTGCAATGATAAAGTTGGATATTTATGAAAACATGGACATATGAGGTCTGACAATAAAGCTCGCGAACTGGCCAAGATGTGCTTGCTGTGACAGCAGCGGACAGACACCTCATTATGGTTTGATGACATTGGCATATCAGTGTTCCACAGCTGTGTTCTTGTTATCTATGGCAATCTATTATTGTCTGAGTATGTTTTGGTGTGCCATCACGACAATGTCAGAGCTTGAATTACAGCATTGTCTGTGAGAGAGATTTTAGCTAGGAAACAAGTAACTGTGCTGAACACCCTCCCTCTTCACCGGATCTAGACCCCAATGACTTTCCTGTTCTCAAAGATAAAGAAAATATTGAAAGGAAGGTATTTTGATGACAGTAATAACAGCAGCTCTGAAGGCCATTCCACAAAATCAGTTCCAGAATTGTTTTGAAGGGAGGACTAGGCACTGGCATTGGTGCACAGCTTCCCAAGGGGAGGAGTTTGAAGGCAACCACAGTGATATTCAGTAATGAGGTATGTAGTAATTATATCTTGATGAGTTTGCGTGTCAGACCAAATATAAAACTGTGCTGCTTACTTCTGAGAACAAGTGTTAAAGAGGTGCCAATTTTAATTTTGCAGAGTCTGATGTTCCAACACAGAAGAAAATATGAGGGCTGGAGACTACTGGCCAACTGGCCTTCTTCCTTGCATAAAGTACTTGAGATCCTGGTTTACAGGTGACTGCATCAGAAATCGAAACAAATTAAAAAAAAAAAAAGACTGCAATTCAACACATATTTCATTTTCACATATGTATGAGGTGTCATTCATCTTTAAAATTATAGGAGGGAAAAGGACAGAGTAACTTCATAACAAATGGCAACATCCTCAATACAGCAGTGTTACCAACAGTTAAACCAAAAAAAAAAACTTGCACTGTAATAGTAAAGGGAGTGCAGTGAAGGCAGATATGCTATCAGACATTTACCTGCATGTCAATTGTCAGAGATTTTCAGGTGTCCTGCCCCACCCACTGGCGTTCAGTCGCCTTCCAACAAAACATATGTTTCGGAGCTACTACTTCACATGCATCTCCACATCAGAACATTTTACAATATTAAGACACAATAGCACTTGGGTACTTAAATGTTACAGACATATCAACACACATTTTCTGCAATGTATATGAACCAGGCACGCCAATGCAGTCATAACAAATACTAAGTTTCTGCTCAACTGATCATGAAGCACTGCAAAGCCATGAATAGAAGGATTCTTTTATTTACAGAGTGAATAACTATGTACACATCATGACCTGACAAACAATATGATTTTCTAAGCAGTCCCCTCTTGAAGCAAAACTTCCACACAATTCCATTTATGTTGGATGTGAGCTTCTTATAGCAATGACTACAAAATTATTACTTTCCAGAATGTGACACCATGTGTCCAGTAGAAGTTTACCACATTTTTTAAAAATGCACTTCCTCCATCTGCATAGTAGAAATAAGACTAAGCCAAGCAAGCAACCAGCAAGCTACTTGCTGGCTCCACTCTTCAACCCTGAAGATGGGGGCAGAATGTTCCCTCAAAACGTTGGTAAACTTCTACCATATACTGTGTCACATTCTAATTATATGTACCTCATTCTACTAATGGCTGTTACAAGTGCTTACATTCTAGGGCAACAGCATATCTGCAATGTATCTATACAGAATATATTTCTCATTCACTACTAAGCCACACGCATACATGCACGCACATAAACACAAAGTGCCCAATATAAAAATTACACTACATAGGAAATCCATTCTTGCCTTAAGGCTTTAATATCGGTACACAGTAAAGCTTCTTTTATCATCACTTATACTATTTGTAGTGTAAAAATAATCTACAAGACCGAAACCTAATCATGGTTTCTCACATCGGAGGAATTGCTTGACTTAGTTATTAAGGGAATGTAGTTACTGCTATTTCTGTACCACTTAGTTCATCCATTTCCTACAGTTTGGTGCACCACAGTTGCATGGAATCTTGTGTTGGTCATCTTCAATGTCAAACTTGTAGTCATATGCCAACTGAAAACAAGAGCACAATTTCAAACATCACTTCAGTTTCTTTCCAATGTGATGCATGCAAGTAACACAGTAGAATAATACTACTAGTGTTTGCCACTGTACAATTCAGATAAATACATGAACTGGCTGTGTCTTGAAAAAGAGGAAAGAGCACTAGGACAGCAAGCTTAGCAACTGACATACCAAGTTTACTTACTTATGGAGCTGAGCCCTTCTTGAGGAGAAGCCAAATTTACAGGTACACAAGAATTTCCCAGCATTTTATGGAACCTGAATGTTCATTACCGTGTTCACAAGAGCCCTTCACTGGTCCCTATCATCAGCCAGATCAATCCAATCCATACTTTCCCATCCTACCTTTCTAAGATCCATTTTCATATTGTCCACACACCTATGCCTTGGTCTTCCCAGTGGTCTCTTTCCTTCTGGCTTTCACACCAATATCCTATATGCATTCCTTTTCTCCCCCATTCATGCTACATGCCCTGCCCCCCTCATCCTCCTTGACTTGACCATTCTAATTATACTTAGGGAAGAGTATAAGTTATGAAGCTCCTCATTATGTAGTTTTCTCCAACCTCCTGTCACTTCATCTCTTCTCGGTCCAGTACTATTGGCTGATTTTAATCCCCTATTCCCAGAAGATGGTTAACAAACCGAAACAGCAGGACCATTACAGTCCCAAATGCAAAGTACCACCAGTTCATGAAAGGTCCCTCCAATACAATTTGAACAGAAGAAATAAAAACTTGAGTGGTCATTTCAGAATCTAAATTGACATTATGGTCAACTTCCACCGGGATTTTATTGCAACCACTCATACATTACACTGACCTCTTCTCCACGGGAGATACGTCTTTTTGCAAAAATGATTATCCTGAGGTCTCGCTCCACTTCTACAATCTCGGCCACGCAGTTTGGGTTGCATGAGTGGTTAATGTATCGAGCAAGTCCCCCTGAGAGAGTAGCATCCACAACTCGATCTTCATCCAGTCGAAACATATAAATGCCACGATTCTGCAGAATAGAAAGGAACATCGTGTTCTTGCTTTGCAGTTCCAACAAACAGAGTGATAGAGAAAGCTGCACTATAGCTCACTTAGTATTAAAAAGCTACTGAGCATCATACAACATACAAGACATATGTTATAGTATAATGTATAGAAAAGGTACCGCTTACTATTTTCATTTCATGCATCCTGTTGTGTTACAATATACAACCTCTTTATTAACCGTCACAACACAACAACTATCAAGGTCAGTGCCCAGCTACGGCTCTGCTACATGTTTCGGCTATCAATAGCCATCAGCAAATACATGGTTAACATACATACACCACTGAACTGCAGTACTATTAAACTGGATACAATACTATTAATCATATAAAACACTTGACGTAAGAAATACAATAAATCAGATTATATAAAAAAACAGAAGTTGTAGTATGAAACAAGAAAAAAATTTTAATTGATGTTTTATAATATTGAATCAGTCGTTGGTTCTGTAATTTCGCACGTTCCCATGGACAAATTGGAATATTCTATATTTTTTCTTTTTGTATATAAGATTTTACAGGAGGCTCATGACGTAGATGTAGTAAATTAATGTTAACTATTTAGTCGGTGCCTCATCTTACAAAGTGCTGTCCGTACTGTACGTTGTTTACATTCCCTACATTTCCTTGCCGGTCCTTCCAGCAAACTGGTTCAGAGAAGTCAAACTTCTGCACACTGGGAGAGATTAATGTACTGGGCTATACACGCTGCAGAGAACAACTCAAGTAACAACTCACTCTGGCCTCGTACAGCTTCTCCCGCAGCTCAGAGAGTTCCGTTCGAATCACCTCACCAATATATTCTATCACCATTGTGTGACGTTCCAAATCCCGAGCAGCGTACAGACCCAAACCTTGGATTTTGGACCTACAAGCATCATCATTTGTTACTCTATTAAACCAGTCCCTAGACATTTTAAATGCATATTCAACTACAACATGCATCTAAAATTACTAATAAAACAGCTACACAGGCAAAGTACCAACAAGACATAGAAAATAATTCTCAGTTATGCAGCTCATCACCCATCTGAATATTAAATTCTGGCTGAATTAGAATACTCAACCTGAAGTTAAAAAAAATATACATGAATATATGGAAATTGCAGGTACAAAAACAAAAATGATGGTTTAGCATGTACACAATCAAAGAGGGCAAGAACAGCAATGGGAGAAATTACAACCACACGTCTACATGTAAATACTTTGAATGAAAAATATCAGACGACGTGAATACGGATTTAGGACAAAACAGGAAACCATAGAACAGTAAATGGCCATTTTGGGAAAGTATGGGCATGGTTGTACTATTTGCAGATGACACTAATATACTGTTCACTGATAACTCTCTTAGTTCTTTAAATATAAAAATCAAAAAGGTTATTGATCAACTAGAAAGCTGGTTTAATGTGAATCAACTTTTTGTTAACACTGACAAGACCAAAGTATTATTTTTCCATGGAAAAGGATCTACTTCTAGGAACAGACCGGTCATACGTTTATTCAATAGGGAATTAGTATATTCATCTTCGGTGAAATTCTTGGGTATTGATATCTCTGAAAATTTGAGCTGGTTGAATCACACTCAATATATCTGCCTTAAGCTGAGCAAGGCTTTATATCTGATCAAATCCTTACGTAATTCTGTTAGTTTACAGGTATTAAGAAATGTATATTTTACTAAATTTGAATCCATATTTAAGTATGGTATTATGTTTTGGGGTGGTGGAGGTAAAGAGATACAGTTTTTGAAGTACAAAAAAAAATGCATAAGAGCCATTATGGGCGTTGATAATCGGGCATCCTGCAGAAGGCTGTTTGGTGAGTTAGAAATTTTAACTGTTACTTCTTTGTATATACTGGAGATTTTATGTTTTATCATAAAAAATAGAATCTATACAACTCTGAACTCTGATGTGCATAATTACAATACATACAAAGCATAAACATAATCTGTATGCCCAACATTGTAATACAAATCGTTGTAAGAGAAGTGTGATAAACATGGGCATAAAACTATACAATAATCTTCGCATGGAGTTAAAGAATGTATCTGATTTTAAAGTGTTTAGGAGGAAATTGAAGTGTTATTTGTTGCATAGTGCCTTCTACTCTCTTCAGGAGTTTTTTATACGTAAGATGTTGAATTAAATGACTGTAATTGTCTGTTAATGCATGTGCTGGTGGTTTTTTTTTTATATAATATATTTAAGTATTTATGTATTCTTTGATTATGTTAGGTGTGATTGTTATTAAATCTATATATTCCCTTTGACTTTATCCGATTGTATATTTTACAGTTATGGATGTAAATAAAATTATGAAATTATTATGGAAATTGAACATAAGTTGAGCATAAACAGGAAGTCTTTCTAATGTGGATATGAATCACAGGTCCTATGAACACAGGTGAGAAATTATTCAAAACTGTGAAAAATGAGTTTTATGAGATCCTCACAAAGAGTGACAAGGGGGAATTATAAGTAGTAAAATAGTATGTGGGATCAAAGCTAATAAAACGGACAGAAAAAAGACATGTGATCAGGATGTCATCTCTTAGGGACACCCATATCAATCAGGCTTTACTTTACAAATGAGATATGGGATGACCATGAGAAATGCAGAGGAACCAAAAAAGTTAGATCAGAACAGGGCACTGGCCCAAACCCTGGCAGGAAGCACAAAACATACAATAAAGTATTTAAAAATTCAGTTCCTACCTCACAGTTAAACATACGTATAATGCATTGTCTGAGCAAAATGCAGGTAGTGCATATACTCAGCACTTTGATTTTCAGGGCCATTAAAAAAGAACAGGGACTTGAACCGGTTGCTGCTAAGACAGTACCTGGCAAGATAGACATTATTCCTCCATTCCTGTTTCATTTTCTTGTACTGTGAACTCTTTGAGTGTACAAATTGTTTTGAGTATGGGCATGCTGCTTCACCAGCCACGGTTGCTGTCGGAACAAAAATTGGTCTGGATGATGAACCTGTCCTTTGAGTGTGAGGTCGCTTCCACAGAAACTGGTTTCTCAGTTTTGGTTCCGTTCGTGCACAGCCAGTTGGATTCACAGCCAGCGGCAACTCGAGCAGAGGATTTCGTCCATACTTGAATCGATAGTCCGTCAGGGTTTCAACTCCTGTTAAAAGAAGAATTAAATATAAGTAGTGATTCAAATGGAAAACAGAAAAACAGTAGAACATGACATACCACAAGAATAACAAGAGTGGCTGTGACTACTCACACACAGACACTCGTAGCCTCAAATAAATATATGTACATTGAGTAAATAAAAATAATTCTGCTAATACTGAAGCTCATACATGAATATGAACCTGTTCCATCCAAGACATTCACAACCAATCGTGTAACATTTAGGTTAATCTCCTTCTCAGTATTCCAAGTGGCTACTTTCAAACAAGCTTCCCCACCAAAATTCTGAATGGCTTTCTGTTTCTCAATTTGAGCTACATGTCCATTGTAGGAAATGAGGAAGATGAATACAAGTGACTACAGCCCCCAGTCACTATTCACAACACTCACGTTCCATTCCGGAGCAACACACTTCTGAACGCTGATGCTTCTCAAACATCATTCCTGCTCAAATTACAATTTAAATCTGCAAGTCAAGGAGAAGCATCAACTTGGCATAAGACTGAAACAATGAATATGATAATGCCATTCACTAGAAGCAGGTGAATAAACTGTTCTGAAGAGACATGAGAAATCATACATAACCATCTTATTCAGTAACCTCACCCATGTGCACAGGCCTCAACACTGAAGTGCAATCTTCACAAAATTCCTGCAGCTATCTAGTTCCTTCCATGGTTCCTGTCAATCTCATACCTGGCAGACTCTCCAGAACTCTGACCACAGCAGGCTCTGTCAAGCCAAACAGATCCTCTCCAGAAATGTAACGAGGGAACACTTGAACGCCTTCCATCTCCTTCCTGAGGGTGGCGAGGGGTTCGAGGATTCTAGCCCACACAGCTCGAGGAGTGGTGTCTCGCAGTTCCAGGTCATCCTGACATGGTTCCTGAACTAGCACTCGGAATTCAGGTCGACCAGCAACATCATGGATTGAACAAACGTAACGACATCTTTTGTTGGGTACCCTCATGCTCCAATAGAAACGGACCTGAGAGAAGGAAATAGAGGAAATGCTTTCAGCTCACCTGCTTAAAAACCTGAACACTTAAATACTTTGTGTACTATTTTAATATATTACACCTTCAAAAAGGAACACTGCATTTTTGTAACATTTCAGATGCACAATACATCAGACAATACTGGTAGAAAATACATCCATTCATGAAATAAAAAAGAAAAGCTTATAAGTGGCCATGCCATAGCTCAAGTGGTTAGTACTGGCTTCCCACCGCGGCGGCCCGGGTTCAATCCCGGATCTGATCAAGTGGGATTTGTGGTGGACAAAGTGGCGCTGGGGCAGGTTTTCTCTGAGTACTTTGGTTTCCCCTGCCAATCTTCATTCCACCAATTGCTCCACAATCACCCTCACCTATCATCTGGGGCTGGTACAATAGGCCAGAGGTGGCCACAGTACACTAGCAATAAAAAAAAAGTATATAAGTGAGAAATGGATGTTCAAATGTGCAGTATCAACTGGGCATGGATTGTTTTTTCCATTTTGAGAGAAATTATTTGTGTGCATAAAAAGAAAATGTTTTGCCAGCAGCAGAATGTCACACTCTATAAAATGAATGGCCACATAAAAAACAAATGAGAAATATCACGTTTAAATTTTGTGGAACTACGTAATATGCACACTTGCACTTGATACGCATGCTTCAATACTTCAACAAACTCACAAAATATTTGGTATTTCTTTTATTTCTTGACAAATATCATGCAGGGTGCATTGTTTGTTTAGGGGCAAAAAGAACATGAGAAAACACAGTACTAATATTCATGTTACATGATGTTTGTGTTCAACATTTATCACAGAATCTGACTGCAAACTTACAATCTTGTATCCAATTGGATAAATATAGTTGGGTGTATGGAAGGCTTGAAGCTGGTGAGGCAACAGCTGACCCACACTCAGAAAGATGAGACTGCCCACACGTAAGAGATTGTTATGATCCTGGTGCATCACAGTTGCCACCTGACGATTCTCATCGCGATTCACATACACGCGTCGGAACACTGACAATGTTGTCAGTTCATTGTCTTTCTCATTCTTTGGGATGTGAGCAGCACAATAGGTAGACTGTTGCAACAGATAAATGCACAATGTTAGCACAAAGAAGCAGAACACAACAGATCTCCTAGCAGTTTTCATTCTAAAGAATAACAGAAAATATGGTTCACAATGAAATACATGCTGAAGGCAATAATTACATGGGAGCTGAATGATGGTACTGTCATGTATAGACGTTCAGCAGCCTCCGTAGTCTAGGGGTAACGTTCCCACCTCATGACTCAAGGCACGAGAGTTCAAACCCGGCAGAGGTCATGGAATTTTTAAGGGCGGAAAAATTCAGGGAACAAGTCCTCTGGGAGGGAATTCAAGCCGTGTGTCCCATGTCGTAGATTTATGGCACGTAAAAGATCCTTATGTCTCTAGGGGACCTCTGAGCAAAATTAGGCAAAGTTCTGCCGCCCAAGTAGTTTCCAATTCCTCCGGTAGATGGGGGAAGTATTGGGGACCACTGCCACAGAGGGCCGACCTAGCTGGCAGAACGGGGCTGATAGTGAGCACCAGTACTGGAAGGACATGGCGACTGGTAGAATATCAAAGGGGGATGCACAATAGATTAACAACTAGTCGCAGTGCATGGGGAAACCAACCCCTTCCAATAATAATAATAAGTCATGTATAGACACATTGCTACGCAAAGACTCAGTAAACACAACCCCATGGCTGCCTATGCATGAAAATTTGGTGTCAGGAGTGGGATTGGATAGAAGATTGCATTGTGTAGGGAAGTAAAACAAATGATGGCACGCCTGCTGGCTGAAATGAGAGCCAATAATGAGAAGTTTGAGGTCCTTCAAGGTATTCTCATCTCCTGCAGGGATGCATATCACCCCAAAACAGAAGCGAACCATGAGGAGTTGATGGCAGAAATGAGAGCCAGTCATGTAAGGATCGAAGCCCCGACGGATGTCAGTCTAGAAAAGATGGAGGCAAAACCAGAAGAAATAGAGTTTGGGGTGCAGCATGAGGTCCCTAAGGAAGATGCTGCAATGGAAACCGGCACAGCACTGAATAAGCGGCAAGGGAATTGCAATCTGGCCACAGGGCACCACAAAAAGCCAAAGGAATGGCCCCAGGGTAAGGGTGGGTGGGAGAAGTTGGCTGCTGCCTGCAGATGGATAACCCAATGTGCAGAAGTGGCAGGGTGCAAGGGACACAGTAGGGGAAATGTTGCACTAAGAACCCAGAAAGGACGAGAAGAGACACTGGAAGGACCAGGAATGCAAGAATGGAATAAGGAACCAAGGCCTGAGATAGAAGGTATATCCAGGAAGCAAAAGGGTATTCGACAAGACTGTCAGTCAGATTTTTAGACTGGAGATCATGAAGTGAGCAGTTTGGATTTCCAGTGGGTTGTGAAAAACAAGTGATGGGATATTGTGGAGGGCTTAGTCCCCTCCAAAATGGAAAAAGACACTGCACACAAGAGTAAGAGCACTGGCCATTGTAAATAGTTTTGCCCCCAACTGGTGAAAGTGAATGTTGATAAACCTAGACTGACTGGCAACTTACCAGGTGGTCACTTGGGATGCATGGCCTAAAGGAAGAAGCAGCAGTAGTGGTTGGAGAGTAAACATTGAGAAAAGCCGAGCCACGGGAAGGACGTGAGCTTGATCACAGATATTGCAAGCCCAGCCCTAGGAAACAAAGGAATGGTGTAGGCTGTTCAGGATGAACAGCCTTAAGGATGGAGCAACATGACGCATACACCAATTCATAGGCAACGATTTGGTAAACACATTCCTGCAGAAGCCTACACACAACAGTACTTTGGTAAACATATTCCTGCAGGAGCCTACACACAACAGTACTTTGGTAAACGCATTCCTGCAGGAGCCTACACGCAACAGTACTTTGGTAAACACATTCCTGCAGGAGCCTACATGCAACATTACTTCGGTAAACACATTCCTGCAGGAGCCTACATGCAACAGTACTTTGGGAGACACATTCCTGCAGGAGCCTACATGCAACAGTACTTTGGTAAACATGTTCCTGCAGGAGTCTACACATTACTTTGGTAAACACATCCCTGCAGGAGCCTACATGCAACAGTACTCTGGGGAACAAATTTTAGGTTGTGTAAAGATTTAGGATTAAGGGTGAACTTGGATGAATGTACAGTTACAACATATACACATGCCATACAGTATAGACCAAAATGTTGAAATTTAATACAAAGTAAACAAAAGTTCTTAATGCCTAGAAAATAAAGCAGTGAAAGACCAACGAGTAAAAGAAGAAAGTACAGAAAGAATAAAAGCTGCAGGAAAGTGCAATCAGTCAGTAAGGGATATATATATATATCGAGACCCCCATTGAAGGTTTCCTGGGAAGGAGTGGGTTTGTACATTAAACCAGGAAGAATTTTAAATTAAGGTAATTTAGTCCTAAGTTTATCGATTTGGGACCACTGAAACTGAATATTAAATGGGAATTGCACTGAACTTTGGAAATGATGAATGCCAAAGGCAGGAAAAATGTTTAGCAACTTATGTACCCATATTAAAGCATTAAGCAGAAACACGGAAACAAAGAAGGGCAGAAATTAGCAGAAAAACAGCAGCAGAGATGAGAGCTGCGCAACTACAGAAGCTAAACCAACAAACAACCAAAACAGAGACCATTTAATGAAAGAGACAAGACTGAAAAGAGAATCTCAAAGAAGGTTCTGAACATGAAAACAAAAAAGATCACCATCAAGAGGACATAACAGGACATGACAGATGATTCAAAGAACAAAGAACATGGGAGGAATACAAGGAGCTTCGGAAAGACAATATGGATGGAGAGGGAAGACTGCCAAATAACCAACCACATGAAAGTGTAAACTTCTGAAGAAGAATATTTAATCTCCAATCACCTTGTTCTTAAAGAAAACACAGCCATCTTTAACAGCACAGCCCAAATGATACACATTGGAACAGCGAAGTTTGAAACAGCGAAGGGTTGCACCTGTACGATGGCATACAACACAGTTGAGCACAAGACTCTGCTGTAGCGAGTTCTCTAGATTCATTAACGCCCCGTTCACGGTCTCATACACATCGTCTGACCACAGGGCACAGTTCAGGTGCACCCACTTGTCCACATCAAAGTTCAGTAACCTGCAAAATATTTAACAACAATGAGACAGACTGTAAACCGAGTACAATATGGGTCTTAGGCTAAAGTATGTTTTGATAAACAGCAGATTACCACTGCCATATAACCAGAATAACAGACTGACCTGGCATCAGTAGCTGTGAAAATAATATAACACAAGACCAAGCAAGTGTGAAACAAAGCAACTACTATGACTACCTGTTCCATCACTGAAATTTTCTCTGTTTAGGCTCACTGGATTATACTGACCAAATTAAAATTCTGTCCACACCCAACAATATGACCTAGAACTTGAATTATGACAATTAGTTCTTTTAAAAGAAATGTCTACCATATTCATTGCCAGATTTTAATTACACTTAATACTGAGACATTCTAATAATATCTGACCCCAAGATGATCTTCTGGGGCATTTGGACAAACAAGTTTTGTCAGTTTCATGCAGGTAATAATTATTACCTGAAATCTGAAAACTGATTATAATCAGTTTTCAGATTTCATACAACTCAACAGACTGTTACTCCCAACACAGCTCCACGCTTAAAAAAAAGAACAAGTTTAAACTGGATTTACAAGCAAGTCTGAAGATTTGTTTTGTTTTTCACTTAAAGGAGCATTTCCTTGGATGTAGGTAGATTGTGGGTGTGAGATTCCAGGGCATATGCATTTAACCAGTTAAGTGCTTCTTTTCTGTTCTTATCTCTCCCACAGTGGCACATTAAATTCCCTGGAACATTTAAATTTGTCACTGCTGCGTTTAATTCGATAATTTTTGCTCCCCTATTAAAATGCAATATCTCAATCATGTGTCGTTACAAAATTAAGGAACAAAAACTCTCTGAAAGACAAATTATCAAACTTCATGTATCTGTATTTTCATTTCTATAGCCATTACATAAAAGTTAAAATTCTGTACTTTTGGTGTCATTCTAAAAATATCAGTTACTGTCGTCACTGACTTTCATTTCTGTTCAGACTACGTGATCTCACACATGTGCCTCAGTCATGCACATGCAGTATATGGAGTGCTTCAGGTGGAATGAAAATAGAACCGGGATCGTTCTGCACGTGGAAAGAGGAAACGCGTTCAGACGAAGTGCGAGAAATGTGATATAGGACTGTGCATTCTCGGGTGCTTCAAACAGTACCACACGAAAGCAAAATTTAGTTAGACGACGCAGGGGAGTAGCCTGTACAACCATGAAACAGATAACAACAAAAAAGGTATTGTACATTGCATTTACTGCCAAAGAAGTAACAGGATGCTTTTAAGCCATTTAGAAAAGAACCGGGATGCCATCCCGCCCCACCTAAAGCCCTGAGTATATGAGTTCTTGACTGATGCCTAATGTTCAGAAATGAAACACTATCTTAATAGTCGGCTAATGAATCTGTCTAGTGACACTGTGAATACCTCAATGATAAACACAGTTTCTTAAAAACTGTACTTCCTTTGCAAGCTCAAGGCTAGTATGGATGACTGAACTGAACTGTTCTTCCAAACATCACTGCAAAACCCTTATCTTTTACAGGCTGTGAAATCTTCACTAAAACGTTTATACCACTGGAAACATGGCTGCAACTCAAGTGGCAGATACTGGGAATATTTTATAATTATGTAGTTTTCAATATCAGCCCAGCGATGGGTCCTGGATTTTAGTTTTAGATTAGGCGTGTTTTCTAAAAACCGACTTGTTTCTCTGTATTAGTTCCGCAATGTCTGGTGTACAACAGACATAAAAATATTCCAGGGGTCTTCTGAATGTGCTGCTCAGCAACTCAATCTGCTCATACAAGTTCCATGCTATGGCTGTCGTTGACATTCTCTGCTTCTGCTCACTGCCTAACTTAACCTTTATCAGACGAACATCATCATATGATGTCGTTAAAAGTTAGGGCAGCTGGCCGAATGACATCATATGATGTCGTGGATTCCACGCATGTAAGGTTTTTTTTAAATTAAATTAAAAATATAAATTGTTGTTCTATTTACATGATTTTTGGACAGTGAATGTTTGTCAGTATGTGTACGTCACGTTTGTCCTTCCAAACTAGTGCTGTCAAGTTCCATCTCACCCTAACACGAATGTCACCTTTCTTCAGTCGAAATTGTCTTCGTCGAAAATCGTCAGGCAAGCCCTTCCGATTAGGTCTGACTGTCCCACAGCACATTATGTCCTTTGTCATCAGGTCGTCGAACAAGTCTGGTGACAAAAAGAAATTGTCCATGTACAGTTTGTGACCTACGCCCTCAATACACCTGCATAGGTCCCTAATTGTAGCATGTGTCGCTGTCACGTCTTGGCTGGCACGTTTCCTGTCTTTTCCTAAGTAAACCTTCATGTCATAGGTATACCC